ACATGATTTGGGGAGAAGAACATGTCTTAATTCTTTGCTTATACGAAATTACACGGGAATTGAGGATGATTTGATTATTACATAAAATAAAAAAATCCGCGTTTCGACTCTCACTCTTAAATTTTTCCCGACTGTTACCTTTTCTTACATAGAGGGAAGAATTAAAAAACTGACGAACACCAAAATGGATGACGCCTATGGAGTGACATCTATTTATCAAAAAGAAGCCCAAGTGCGAATCGGACTCGCACACCCAAGGTTCCGTACAAATCTATATGATGTAACAAAAATTTACTCGTATGCGCTATAAAACATTGCTTCATTCGAGATTCTAGGTCGTCTGGAAGTAGGTACCTATTAGCTTTAAATTCCCTAGCGAGTAGTTGCGAGTTTGAAAATATGCGGCAAAAATTGCTTTTTCTTTTAATTGCGATGACATAAAAGTTAGATTTTTTGTAGGTATTATAGACCGGAGCGCATATATGAATATGAATTTTAATTTATTACCTCTACGAGTTCATGAGTAAACATTAAAGTTATTAAAATATCTTTATTAAATGATCTATCAAAAATTTTGCGGCTTTCACAATATTTCCTTTATTTGTACTATAAAACGTTACTTCGTTCAAGATTCTGAATACACGGGAAGTACCCTGTAAGTTTTGACACCTACGGAGTTCCGTTGCGAGGTTCGAATAAATGGCTGTAACTTTTGAAAATTCACCTCATACCTCCACGCGCAAAAAGGTTCTTGACAAGTGGATGGACGGCCATCAATGATCCTATAAGGGTTCCGTTTTTTCTCTTACGGAACCCTGAAAAAAACAAAATATGTATTCACATATTCACAACTTTAGTAACTTACCGGCAATCCATTGGCCTTTGACCTTCCTTACACCTTTGTTTCATGTTAATCTTGACTATTAGAGTCACCCCGAGGGGCCCTTGAAATTATATAATGATAAATGGAGATATTCCCACATATATAAAGCCATGATTAATAACACGGCCTTTCATAGAGTTTCCTAGAATTTCAAAAGTACCCCTTACAAAGAAATCAATGTCAACAAATTGGCCTAAATCACTCGGTATTGTAGCTTCCATTTCATACGATCACAAATAATTGCCTGATTACCTACGTAGATAGGTCACGTCGTAAAAAACATTTTCATATAGGTACGTTCCTCTTTCTACTCTAAAACGTGTCTTAAATCAACGTATTAAATATCTTAATTAGAATATCTTAAAACGTTGTCGTGATTCAATAAACAAACTTAAATATGCGGTTAAACCTTAATAATTCGATGTAATCTCTTTGAAAGAAGATCGAAATTGGCACAGCTTAATTTCTTTGTTGAAATCGATCGTTGATCAAGTGGTGGATGGTGCTCGAGAGTGCAATGAGAGCAGGTGACACGTGCATCGTTTTTTGAAGTGGCCACCCTCGTTTTCGACTGGTTTTAGCGAAAAATGATGAAGTATAGATTATAGGTACGCAGACATGATATACTTCTGAATCACACAACGTAATGATACAAAGAAACCTCTTATTTTGATTATGAATAAAAAATGTAATGTAATATTTATACAAAAGGCAGAAGGCATATATGCAATTCTTGACCATTAACAAATAACTACCATATGCATAATAATAATTTAAATTAAGTCCTTAAAAATAGATTTTCACCTAATACATATAGAAATTAGTAAATTAACACTAACATCTTATTTTTAACGATGTGAAATACATTACTATATACCTTAATCCCATCCCAACAGCAAGGTTATGTAGGACTCCCTTGCGAGACTACCCGGAGTAAGGGGTTATTCAAAAGAGCTAAAACTAGGCGATGCACGAAAACAGCCTGAAGATCCACTGAGTACACTGACAACTTCGATCAAAGAAACGGCAAACAATGTCAAAATTGTTTTTTAATCTCTACTGTGAAACGCAAAGTTGGTAGGTTCTTCTTTTTCTACTTAAAGTAAGCACTATTGTAATGTGTGTAGTGGCGAAACTTAGCCGGACGTAGGTATATCTCGTATACTGATATGTAAGTGATATGAGGAGGACGTAGTATATCTCGTATGCTGATATGTTGGACGATTTCTTCCTTTTTCCTAATTTTCTCTAACCGTCCTTTAATGTACTAATATTCATTAGAAAATTGCCTTCCTGTGATATTAGGAATAAATTTAATAGAATAAGGTATTATATGGACTTCCTTTGAAATAAATGTGTAACTACAGTGCCTAATTTAGCAACAACTACAATCAGTTTGTAGGTAGGTACCTGAAACATAACCTATGCACTAAGTATGAAAATTTATTTAATAGATATAATTAAATGAATATCTAATAATGTGTGATGTACGAGGATCATACCTACTCTATGATGGACTGGTTTTTAGCGTCATAATGCCGCGCGCACGTGCCGCCATCTGGCGCAGGAAGCGGCACTCGACTGGAAGATGGGCTTCCAGCCCGAGACAGTCCGTCACGGAGCGGCACAGGTGCACATGCCAATAAAAACTCATCAAAAAAAGGATGTGACCAATATGAGATAATTAATCGCTATCACTAACTCTTGAGGTTGACGCAATGTCCTTAGGTTGTTTTGTGGCATTTTAACCACCGTTTATCCAATTTAAAATTAAGACAAGATTCCACGAATAATATTCCCCTAGTGACATTAAATTAATAAAATAAATGCTAAGTAGTCAAATTCAAATCACGAAGCTTGTAAATCATTTCCAAATTACTCTTACTTTAAATTATCGTATTTTGACTAGCGAATATGAATTAATTTACTAATAATTCGTAATTATATCATTTCCCTTCTAGAAAGCAAATATAAAGCATAACGATGCGTGCTTAGATTATTAATTTATGACATAATACGCTAAGTAGGTACGCTCGGGATCTTTACTAGGACCTTTTTTATATATCCAAAGAAGATATCACACTTTTTATAAAACCTTACTATGTTGTTTGTCTTAATGTTTAAAAGTCTAGTTGTTTGTAGTTGAAATATTATTATAATCTACGCTGTAATTATAAAAAGATTATTCAGGTTATGAACTCTATAAAAATGAAATAACTAAATATTCAACAAGTATATTAAGTAAAAACTATACTAGTTTACATTGTAAGAGTGTTACGAACAAGCAAATAACACCGTAAAGAAGCGTGTCTTGGTTATAAGCTGTCCTGTTTACACTAACGCGGTTGAAACGAGACAACATTCACAGATGCCAAAGATGACATACCATACGTAATAGGACGCAGTCACAGGAAGATTTTCGCGAAGGTAATGACAAGTGGACTGGACACGTAGGCACTAATTGGACGCAATGACCACAGGCCGGGCCATAAACGACCCAAAGCGTGGGCTGAGCGACGCTACGTCTAAACAAACGTCCAATGGTCAGACCCCTGTGTCTCAGCACAGGTGCTCCTACACTCCCCACTTTTCGTAAAACAACGAACGGAGTGGCAGTTCTCGATAAGCTGGTTGATAGAGGACGCGGACAGCGATGGCGTTCGAACGATTGTCTGAGTTGACGTTTTCATTCACAGGGTTTTACTGACGAGTCTGTGTTGCTTCCACTATCTAATTGTTGTTGAAAGTACATATCTACTTTCGCTTTACATACACTTTGTATATGCTCGCTAGCATATTACTCGTTAAACACATTTGCTCAACAATGCAATACAACGCTATGAACATAACTGACTCTTGATAAAATGTGAAATCCATAAGCATGCATAATTTTATTATCTGATTGCATCATAATTACTAACTTAAGCCTAATATAATAGTACAATATATTGGATAACTAACAAATATACCTTTATCGATCTATAATAAAACGATTATATCTAGGTAGGTATATAGATATTTCAGCCAAGTTTTTTTTTTAGTGTATTGTACTAATTCCGCTACATATATTGCTCTATACTACCTACCTACCTAGCTGAATCACGGAAAATCTTTAAAATGGTGAGTCGGTCAATATAGTAATACTCATGTCATTATTGTATCATGTACTTCCAATCGTTCCAATCTTATTTTCAAGACGATTAATCATCTTTTGAAAAAATATACTTACAATAGATTTAAACAATGAGTAACGTAACCGTAATTCTTTGGATAAAAAAAAATAGACGAGTTAAGTATTGAACTCCGAAAACGGCAATTTATACAAACGCACCGGTATCTATTTCTGTCGTTGTCCATCCATCGGGAGCAGTGATACTGAGCTATTCCGGGCGGGGCAGGTTTTCGGGGAATGTCAACAAACGCACTGAGACTCATTCAATGAACTCTATGCGGCGACGCCGGTGGCGGACCGGTCCGCTCGGTATTCATAAAAATTATGCTCCCAACGCTCAATGGGCTGCCGTGGCATCTTCTTGTTTTGTTTGCGCCTTCACTTTTTCAGAGCTCTTTAATACCAATGGATCACGCACTTTTATAACGCCATTTATAAAGCTCGACGACTGGACTACGGAATCGAACGCATTATGATACTTTCGTTCGCGTGTCAACTTTATCACAGGGTTTTATTAAGCCAATTTAACGGTGGTTTTAATTGTTATAAAATGTTTTAAACAATGTTAATTGACGTAGTTTTGTTTCACAAGTCGAAAAGCTCGCAACTGGCGAGATTTATTCATATACGCAATTTAGATAGTCAATCAACCTGATTACATACTAATATCAAAACAATAATTCACGCTGAAATTCTAACAAAACAACTCGACGCACAGAAAACCTTCCTCGGCCTTTCGGTCTTTATTTAAAAGTAGTTCAAGATTATAATAATTAGCAATTTTAAGTGCGTTTAGGGCAACGTTGTGAACTACAAACAATTTCATAAAAACTTTAAAATTATCTTAGAGTAAACGCACTCAGTGGTTACGTTTACGAGGTTGCCCAATAGCAATAAATAATGGTGTAATCACATTCAGGTCTTGTGTAATTGAAAAACAGTGTAAAGGATTTAGTTTCGTATAATTTTCTTTTAACAAATGATCAATAGAAAACTGTATAATTAACAATGTAGCATCTTAACAGATAGTTCAAAATTATTAGCGATGTAGGTAATATTTTACATATACTTTGGAATGTTCATATAAACAATCTCATATGAATCAATATACAACATGGGACTTCACACCGGCGTGGTCACAGTTACAACACTCTCTTTACAAAACCTGTGGGAATAGAACGCACCCAGAGAACTGCAGGCGGCGCTATCACATACGTCAACACGTCAAATGCCATAGGAATGGTACAATACGGTCTATAATAAAATTACACCACCCGCAACCCCTGGTCAAATATCTGTGATGTCACAGCCTGTTAACACGTTTGCTATTTTTTTGTGCCTCCACACAGTATAATACTGACAGTGACCATGGATACAGAACTAAATGAGCTTTGAAATATTACAATTATTCGCAATACAGCTTAGTTGATCAGGTCTATAACATATTTAAATTATGCCTATATAATACGAGATATAAAGCGAGACTCGCAGTACTCGATATTTTATTCAATACCTAGTGTTAAAATATGGTTCGGTTCACTGGCAGCATATACTATGAAGAAACGATTTTTTCACCATCCAATGTTATATTTCAATTTTTACAAGATACAAACACAATGGAGATTCATAATGAGATTACATATGGAATAGTTATACGCGAGGCGATGCTTAGCAGGGTGAAATGAAAATGCAACCGTTAACCGCAAAGTTAGGCGCTGGATGCGACAGATCAAGATTAACTAAATAAAGCAGTCAATAAATAAACGATCATAAATATCTAATAAATACCTACACAGGCTATATTTACAAAAAAAGCCTTTTTTCAAGGGAACATTTTCAGCCTTCAAACAAATATAATACAAGACTACCCCAGTGGGATAACAGGTATAAATTAAAAAATAAAGTAAAGCTGCCGGCTTTAGACTCGTGTTACAAAATAATACTGACACCAGTAAATTCTCTATCCGCATGATGGAATGTGCAGGCTAACGCCTGGAACGGCTATAGGAACCAACTGCGCTACTCGCTGCCTCGCACACAATACTAATTCATCACAATTCTATTGATATAGAATGGAATACTAATAAATACAATTAACATAGATTCAATTATCTAAATAGTACAGTGACAAGGTGATTAGACACCCTCAGAAGAACTGAGGTGTCCCACAACTGTACAACAACAAACAATAGGCAGTATACATATCAGGCAACATGCTGCTGCCTTAATGCAGCTCCTGAATTGCAGACCAGAGGCATGTCTTTGCTTTAGATATTTATTTTTCAAAATATTTAAATCAAGGACTTGCCTCTTACGCCTAGAGCAGCTCAGCATCTGTCTCCGACACAGTACCAACAACAATAACATAATAACAGATCTACTTGAAGCGAGTAGCATTAGGTACACGGTCAACTATCTCACACATCCATTATACACTGAATATAAACAAAATAATACAGATTCACAAAATGAACACTGAGAGGAGACTGAAATTTAACATCCACTGCAGAATTACAAGTTCCGAGGGTTTCCGATCAGTATATACAAAAGAAATTCCTTCGAAATAAATTATAAGATTCGTAAAATAATTATCACATAAATTTTTCTTATATCATCTGTTCTCTCGACATAACTTAACACATAAACTATCTATATGTACACAGCTACAATATGAACAAAAGGACACATCGTCCGGTGGCGAGCACAGTTCGGTCCATAGGCACAGTCACTGGGTGAGAGCACTACTAGAGGGTGGCGGGCGGCGCCCTACACAGCTGCACGCGGCCCTGGGGCGCCGCCACCGCCACCAGCTGCACCTGCCCGCGCTCCTCAGAGTAAGGCGGCGCTTTCGCCCGCCGATGCAGGCGCACATACGCGCCGAAGCAGACTAGAATCGCCAGGAACACTGCCACGGTCGCGCCGCCGGCGATCGACGCGGTCTCCATCATCAGCTGCCGACTCGTCAGCACATACGAGTCGTCCAGGTCCTTGAACTCACACCGCGGCCCCACGAACCCACTCCGGCACTCGCAGTTGTAAATCGGACTTTCCGAAATCACCACCGTGAAACACACACCGCCGTTCAGGCAATAGTACTCCGAGTAGTCCGGTGCACACTTGAACGTAGGGAAGGTGACGTTGAGCCGTGGCTGCGGCTGCGGTTGGGGCTGCGGCCGCTGCGGTCTCGCGGGCCTCGCTGGCCGCTTCGATATCGAGCTCGAGCACGCGCCGGCCAAAGCCCAGGCGGCCGACACCACCGCCCACCAAACTACTAACGATTGCATTTTCCGCACGATCCGGAGGGTCGGCGCTCGCGGGACGTGCACGATTTTGACATTGGACGGTGACTTATACGAAATCCGAGAGGCGATGACATGACCGCTTTCGAATTTCGAACTGGAACCCTTCGTTCGCATCCGCGTCGGCGGTCCGCCCAGACATGTTTCCTGTGTTAACTTTTTTTACGTCGACGATCACTCGCTCATGACGGAGGCGCGGTTTCTACAGGCGCCCGAGATATCGCATCGATCCCTCTGTGGACATGTCGAAAGTGAAACACTAAACACGATTTGAAAACTTGGATGATCGTGATACTCGATTATTTACGGAGCACATACACACAATGTCCCGTTCGAAACGATACACACAAAATGGTGCTGAGCGAATCGCAATCACACTACGCTCGGTGAGTTGTCTATGCGCGACTGACGGGGGGCGTCAACTACATCCGCCATCTGCCGACGAGAGAATGCGGCGGTGAACTCGCTCGCGATGTTGAATCTGTGTGCGTCCACTCTGTACGCGTATTTGAGTTAACGTTAGTATGCGTAATTGTTGCGTGTGTGTGTGTAAGTAAACTTTTTTCTCTGTGGATCATTAAGGTTTGAAAGAACGTATTTTTTGTCGCTATTGGTTCCTTGGGGACTTCTTGAAAAAATTGTCCTGTACTAATTAGTTTAGCAATTTTGTGCATAAGTTCAACTTAAGTTATTGTTTTCATTTTGGTGGTGGTGTTTATTACACTTTATAATACTGTTAACACAAACTTAATACAGTTATAAGTAAGCAGGTAATTAAATTTAACTTAGCAATTTTATTAAAATCTTAATACGTAAATAAACTTTATTTACAATTCTTCAAAATTTATTTTGTCAGTTGTATCTACATAACTGTTGTTTCAAATTGTATAGTCCGAGAATCTTTTATTTGACCATCGGCATATGCTTAACACCTAAATACTACATACTTGAACACCAAAATACCTAATCATTGAATTATTAATTAATCTGTCACTTATGCGTACATGCCTATTCCTAAATAATAAATTTAGGTGCCAGGACATGAACGAACTAGGAATATTATTACTTATAACAAAATATTTTTTTAAGCAAGTAACCTACATTATTAAACTAAACTATAAACTAAAGCAAGGAATAGCACTTAGATAATTTTAAAAATTTTACTTATTTTCCGAATATGTTGACCAAAAATTAATTTTCTTCTAATATACAATATAATATAATAAAAAATTTGTTGGTCAGCCATTCTATAACCGGCCCCTGTGAAAATTGCGCCTATTCCTAAATTTTTATTTAATTTTTGTTTTAAATTAATTTGTATTAAAAAGTAAAACGGAATTAAGCACATCAGCTAAACATGCAAAGAGAGACAGTTCATTTAGTAAACTGTTACAAAAGCGCTAACCACTGCCCCAGCGAGTCAGGGGCGTGCACAGAGATTTGGGGTAGGGTATGCAGCAGTACCTATATTAAACAAAGTTACCAATTTTCACCATAATTTCAGTACTTTCTAATGCGTCTAGGATGATGATCATTTATACGTTTTTTGATGACCATCAACATTGAAACGTAACTTATTTATAAGTTACCACAAAATTATTTTGTTTTATCGAATTAGTAAGAACTGCTGAAATGAAATGAAAATATCTTTATTCAAGTAGGCTATTACAAGCACTTTTGAATCGTCAAAAAAAAAATTTTTCCCCTACCACTTGTTCAGGACGTCTTTTAGCTGACAAGAAGAACAAGCGAAAGAAACTTACCAGCTCTTTATCATAAGTTATGACATTTACATAAATCATGTCATTACCAAAATAATATGTATTATGACAATAATAAATACAACTTTCAAAGTCTGTAGGACATAAGTTAAACATATAATTAGTCTTTATAGAACAAAGCGAAGGCTATTAATTCCATGCATTGCGATCCTTAAAATATTCATCAACTTTATAATAGCCTTTACTCATAAGTAAGTTCTTTAGTTTACATGAAATTTAAATTTATTTATGGGTAGGTCAACTACATTTTGTGGAACTTTATTGAACATAACAATGCATTTACCCAGAAATGATCCTATGGTTTTCTGAAGTCTGAAGGTTGGAACGGCAAGTTTATTTTTATTTCTTGTGTTAAGATTATGAAAACTACTTTTATTTGTGAAAATATCGTAATGTTTTCTTGCGTACATAATATTTTCATAGATGTTTTAAGAGGCAACAGTCAAAATATTTATTTCTTTAAATATTTCTCTGAGAGATTCTCTAGACCGTAAATTTTATATAGCGCGGACAGCTTTCTTTTGTAGAATAAAAATATCTTGAATACTAGCCGCAGAACCCCACAACAATAGACCATACGTCATTACACTATGAAAATAACTAAAATATACCAATCTTGCCGTTTCAACATTTGTCAAGAGTCTAATTTTCTTAACAGCAAATGCTGCAGAACTCAGTCTACTTGACAAATTATCAATATGAGGATCCCATTGCAGTCGGGAATCTAGTGTAATACCAAGGAACTTTGTCGATTCCACCAACTCAACTTTTTCACTATTTACATTTATAAGTGTATTAACATACCACACATTAAGTAATTCAAACTTTATGTATTTCGTTTTATTTGAATTAAGCCTTAAATTATTACTATCAAACCACTGTAGAACATTGTCGAGAGCATCACTTACATCGTCAAAACAATAATTACCCCTCTTAACTTTAAACACTAAAGAGGTGTCATCAGCAAATAATACTGTCTCGCACAAATTATTTGTAAAGTGACTAAGATCGTTTATGTTAATTAGGAAAAGCAATGGTCCTAATATCGATCCCTGAGGGACGCCAATAGTAACGGGTGCCCCTGCAGATTTCGCTTCATTGATTACTACTTTTTGAATTCTAGCAGAAAGATATGATTTTATTAGAAAAGTGAATTTTTCCTCTTTTGACAGATCGAATAAAATGCCGATAGCATCTTGTTTATTCTCCCAATTATCATAGATATGTCTCAGAAATGCAATTCCAGCGTCAGTGGTACATTTACCTCTGCTAAAACCAAACTGATTTTTATGAAGTAATTAATTTAACGAAAAGTGTGCAAGCAGTTGATTATGAATAATTTTCTCAAATAATTTACTTAGCGCTGGTAGTATAGATATTGGTCTGAAATTACTGGGATCAGACTTGTCGCCCGCCTTGAAAAGTGGGATTATTTTACCATATTTCATTAAATCAGGAAAAGTTCCTTCATCAATGCATTTATTAAAAATAAAAGTTGATTGAGGCGCTATAGATGGTATTATAGATTTAATAACATAAGTTGAAGCGCCCCAAAGTGTCTTCGGTTTTTTTGGCATTAATGGAATTGAATGTTTTAATAATTGAATTGTCGTTAACATGTCTAAAATAAAATTCAGTATTGCACTTATCAACAACTGACTCTAGACAAGTAACTGCAAGTCTAGAACATGAACTAAGATTTCTAGTGATTTCTAGTGATTTGGTGTCTTAGAAAAGATTTTTTCAAACGTATCGGCAACTGCTTCATTTGTTTTAATAACTTTATTGTCAACCTTTAATGAGTATGTGCGCATATTACATTTATTTTTCCCCGTTTCTTGATTTACGGTAGTCCAGGTTCTTTTTATTTTATTTTCTGAATTATATTTTTTTCCAGATATACATTTTGCTTTTGCTGTAACACACACTTTCTTAAAAAATTTTGAATAATTTCTGTCATATTCAATAAACTTTGGATCAGTCGAGGTACACTTTAGCCCATACAAATCGTACAACCTATTTCGACTTTTGTAGATGCCAGGTGTAGCCCAATAAAAACTTAATTCAGTAAAACATCTTCGTAAAAATGACAAGGTTATTTAAAAATTTGCCACTCACTTATATCATGACTATTAGTATTGCTAATTTGTAAACTTCAGTAAATATGGTTGTGAAATTATATTCATGTAAACAAAAATAACTGATATTTGAAATATCCTCATAAATGTAAGCAATATTATAAATATAAAAGGCATGAGAGTGTAATTATTGGTAATAGTTATATTAAACACTACCAGAAAAAAAATGTATTTATTTTCGTTTACTGTCTACACCCATATTAACCTTTTTGTCGAAGTTTGACCTACCTATGTGGATGATGGCTTAGATCTTCCAGGTTCTCAACCACCATTAGTAGCTTGAAGATGTTTAACAATTTATTTCTAACACGCTGCGGACAGATAGGCTTCGAATTCTTATCCTGGAGACGTATTGTTCTTGTATATAGTGGTGACTGGTGTTCCCATTCGAGTACTGCAACTCTTCTATGTATGTAACTATAATCAATAAGGCACCGCTGGAGAGACTCCAACACTGCAATCGAATAAAAGATTTTTTCATGGACCACATACTTTACACACGGTGGTAGGTTTTATGTACTCTTCGGTCTTTTGGATTATTTGTCGTAAACGTGTGTATGTGGTCTATGGTGGTAAAGCCTTTCCAGAAACCAGTTTGTTCGGGATGTTGGAAATCGTCAATCCTTCTTTAGGGATGGTTCGTGATGATACTCGAAAACAACTTCTAAACATGGCTTGGCAGCAATATAAGACTGAAGTTTTTCAAGAGGGGTTTTGTCTGTCTTTTTCTAAACCAAGACATAATCTAGACAAGCCTAGCCAGTGAGATGATTAAAGGCAACATGGTGTGTTACGCGAATAAGAACAATGATTTTAATTGATTACCAGCATACAGTTAAATATGTGCTTGCTCAATATTTCACTTTATAAGTCCCATAAATTTATTGCTATAAAATATAAAGTTATTGGAAAATAATCAATTAATATGTAAATATTTTAGGTATATGGTGCGCGATATCAAATGGAAATGACATTTTTTAAAACATAACCAAAAGTTTTAATGATATGAGTGACATCAGATCAGATATATTTATTATTAGTAAAATTATTTTTCCATGTTGTGAAAATCAAAATAGCAGTTGCTGTTTTAGTCTCAAATCCTTAGGGGCATAGCACGGCTTCAGCATTGATTGAGTGACTGACAAAATTTAAGAGGGTATGTCGAAGCAATAATTGGTTCTCCTGGGCTTCAGTAATGCTTTTAATACGGTCGATAGTGATATAATGTTGCCTATATTTAATTCGGATGCCGGAGCTATCTAGTTGGAAGACAATAATGTGTCTGTGTCGATGACAAGATGTCCCGTTTTTCGGATATGGAGGCTGGTGAGCCCCAAGGTGGTGTCCTCTCCCTTTTACTGTTTTCTATTTTTATTATCAACCTCACGCCCCTTCTCTCATGTTAACATCAGTTATATGTAGACGACGTGCAAATTTTTTCTCAGGCTTTAATCGACGATATCACTGAGCTGATTGCTAAACTTAATCTTGATCTTGTGACTGTCCAAGAATTAGAAGTTGGAAAAAACGGCTTCCTTTGGAACTAGAATTGAGTAAGCGCAATCTTTACTTGTACCAATCTTAGACTATGCTGATGTCTGTTTAATTAATCTGAGTGAGGTCATGCTCAAAAAGTTTCAGCGCCTTCAAAATTTTTGCATTAAATTTATCTACGTTTTTTTGACCACATAACTAAATAACACAATATCGCAAAGAGCATATTCTCACTTTCATGTTTAAAATAATTTATATGTACTTATAAAATATAATTTATTTTGTATTTTACATATATTTTACCTTCATTATCATACATACTACATTACATACTATTTTATTTAATTATTATATTATATTATTTTTGCCTTTCTTCCTTACTAATCTCACACTATCTCCGGTCTTTATTTTAAAATGTTAAACGAATCAAAGGTTGTCTAGAAGCTTTTAGCAATAAGACCACCTTTACCCACCCTTGTATTAGAAGCAATGTTGTTAACTTAATGGTGACAATTTTGTATGAGCAATAAAGTGTCTGTCTACCTATCTATAACTGATTGTAAAAAGCCGTCCATACGTTAGAGAAATCTGAGCTCTAACCAAGGTAACCTTGATGGTTGGCAAGCATCTGGACGGCTATTATACCAACTCCGACATAATCTTTGACGCTATTCAATACACAACTATATCAGAATATCTGGCAATCAACAGCTTAAATGAAGAATGTACAAAAATCTGCGTGCTTACCCCATCGACTAATGTAACTGATGCATATCGATAATGACTGATCTTACCACTCATTTGTCGTCTATGTATGATACATAGAAGAATTCTACTCGCTAGCATTCGTTGTCCTTCGTTGACCTTTCATTTGCTGAATCTATCTGTACGCACCATAAAATCTTATACCCAAAGTACCCAAGGCATCAATCCCTTATCTCTATCAGAGTAAAACTATGGTCTCTATGTAACAACCAACAATTATAGAAAAAAAGGACATTTCTTCACCTTTTTAATTATTGGCTTTCAAAATCGTGTCACTTGATGGCTGTATGAATGAAAGTATTTTGCCTACTCTAAAAGGAAAAAAAAAAACAGCGTCACTTGATTGACAATTTGACACATGACACTGTCACTGTCAGTTAGTGTCATGTCATGCATGGCCTATCGTTGTGGTGTTCAAAGTTGTGGTGTTGACCTTAAAGTTTTATCAAAAACTGATTCCGAAATTAAAAAAAGATTAAAAGCTGTACTTGAAAACAAAATTTAACTAGGTTATTGTTGATGCAAGAAAAAGATATAATTTGTACATAATGTCTGAATCATCATCTAAATCCAAGTCTTTGAACCTGAACCCCGCTCCTACACTGCAATGTAAAGATCTACATGAATATCTCAAAAGTCGATCACCACAGTTTTTGGAAACATTATATAACTATCCGACTATATGTCTAGCAGTTTATCGGTGAGTAAAACCTTTATATACTTCATTATGTGTCGAAATAAGTTTGAGGTTATGTTTATGTTTATCATAATGTACCTAGTATGCTTGCTTATCATTGATGATATTTAATATGTACCATCGATGGAATAATCAGTATCTTTTACGAAAAATTTCAGTGAGTTACCAGAGCTTGCTAGACACTTTGTTATTCGTCTCCTGTTCGTAGAGCAACCAGTTCCACAAGCTGTTGTAACATCATGGGTGTCGCAGACTTATGCTAGGTAAATAACCTATGAAAAAACCACCAATTAACTAAAAAAAAATTTTATTAATCATCCTTATTTCTCTAAATTATTGAATTCATCATACACTCAGGTATTTATACATATATGAACAACTAACACTTATCATTTAGATATATTGTTAGTGACATATTTGATAATTTATTTTCTGTAATATTGGATATATATCTTTAGTAGCTGAATAGTAAGTGACATCAAGAGATAGATATCAGAATATGCAACATTTAACCTAAACTTCCGCTAAGTTTAGCTTTGATGTGTCAAAAATGTCTATATAATGTTTCCATCTGTGAGCAATTAATTAGTCTATTTCGCAATTTGCAACAACTAGTGAACCAGTGCCATCCATTCTAAATTACCAATTAACTCTTAGTCTGTACAAATTACTGAAATATATCAAATAGTCAATTTAATATAATATTGGTGAAAAATATAACTGAAAGGAATGACTGTCATAAATTAGAGACTATTATATTATTTTTTATTAGAGAGCAGAGTAAAGCATGTGAAGCTCTATCAGAGTTATCAGTGTGGCAGGAGGCGCCAATACCAGGTGGAATGCCAGGATGGATGCTATCCCAGTCATTCAAGAAGAATCTAAAAGTAGCTTTGTTGGGAGGGTAAGTATTTATAGATCCTGTTATCAATTACATCAATCAATTACAACTATGATGTTATAGTTTAATAAAACAATGTATAGCAGGAGCAAAGAAACATGATCATAGAATATAAATATATTTTAGTCATATAGTGTGGGGGAGCATCTGTTGGGTTGCTCTGTCTCACTCTACATTAGAAAGAACAAAAGTGGTCCTGTGAAAATGACATTGTCTCCATAAATGGTATGTTACTTCTGTGAGAGCTAACAAATTTATTTTGCAGTCAAAAGGTGTCCTTAATAAATAATTACCCAAAGAGTTAATAATTTTGGAGTTTTTTTTTATTTTGTTACATCTATTTAAATTATAGGGTGCCATTGAAGAATATTAAAATGTCATCAACATATATCTTTTGAATTTTATACTGTTATAACAATATGCAAATGCAGATGGTTTGTTACACTGTGTGAATCAGTTGTATGATTATGTGGGATTGTGTTGAATGTGTGACAGGATGATGCAAACAGTTTGTTTACACTGTGTAAATCAGTGATGTTGGTTGGTTGGTTTGAGGCAGAGGCCGCGCGTGGAGCATGTCCATGTCGCTGGAACCGGACGGGCGCGCGCGAGATGTGTCGTTCCTGGATGCCTACGCGCTAGAGCGGTGGGAGTGCGTGCTACACTACATGGTGGGCAGCGCGCAAACCGAGGGCATCAGCGCCGATGCCGTGCGCATCCTGCTGCACGCCGGACTCATGACCAGGTAACAACTCTGCCTTTTTATTATTTTTGGGCTTTAAGTATATTATTAATTAAAAATTATATCCGGGAAAAAACTATATTATTTTATCCCTGGCTCTCTGAGATGGAAGCAGGGACAAAGAGAATTTTTTAAGCATTTTTCATTAAGAATATTTTCCAGTATAGCATTATGTATGTGAAATTGATCAAATATAATAATTCCTAAAACATACGCCGCCGCCTAGCGAGCGACGAGGCTATAGAGGCCTACGTACTAACAAACCTACCAGAACATAGCCATGTGCTCCATACATACATTTGGCTTGATAAATACCAACATTCTTTATTATTCTTGAGTATTTCAATAAAAATATTTCTATTCATTCATTAATTTCTCACTCTGAATGATATTGATCATCTGAATGATGTCAGAGAGTTTTTATGCTTGTAATTTTAATCTATGTTCTATCGAAAATATTGATTTAATTGATATAATGACGTATTACCAATAAAATTAGTATACAATGTTTATTCTACAGGGATGCTGAAGATGGCTCTGCAGTTATAACTCGGGCTGGTTTCCAGTTCTTACTATTGAGCACAGCTAAACAGGTAATATATTTAATTTTATAAAAAAAGATTTATGGTATTCTTAATGCAAAATACAAGTATAATAATTATTAACAATTATGACTTAAAATTCATAACTATTAAATATACTGATTTTTAAGTCGTAACTCCATCTTAGGTTATGAAATTTCGTGACAAAAATTTTACTGCTGGAACTATCGTAATGTGTACGAGTATATTAAAGGAGTTTCTGTAACTGTAACGAGATAATGTATAGGTGCCCTGTTGTCGTCAGGTATGGTTGTTCCTGCAGCACTACCTGCAGACGGCGGAACGCCGCAGCCTGAGTGCAGCCGAATGTCTCGCCTTCCTCTACCAGCTCAGTTTCAGCACGCTCGGGAAGGTATTTTATTTCATATCACACATATTTTTTTGTCTAAATCTTAAAATTGCCATCACCTCAACCATTAAGGGCTATTATCTATTTACATAATTATATCACATATTTTTCTTTTCTAGGACTACAGTACAGAAGGCATGAGCAACAATATGCTTGTGTTTTTGCAACATTTAAGGGAGTTCGGTCTGGTCTACCAGAGAAAGGTATGTTTATAGAAACAAAGCATCAACAACTCAGATCTTTTCCATTCAAATCCGTTAAATAAATTCACATAATATTAATCATTCAAATTATTTTGCGAAAAAAATAAACTCATGTCGCCAACCATCGAGCCACATCGCGTATCGCAAAGACAATAATGTCACAGAACTCAACTTCGAAATGATCACGTCAAGATTGCACGGCTTTGAAGAAGTTTTATATATAATTTATATACCATCCTCTTTTGAATCAGACACAATGCCCTATTTTTTTTAAATATCACCTACCTATTTGTCGCATTACTTTGAATTTTAATTAAATTGGCAACTCTCAATAATTTGCTACTTGACTGTTTTGGAAAAGGTAGTTTAAACCTTTAATATGATTGTATTAAACCTCTATTAGATTTATTTTCCCCAAAGTGTTATTAACACTTTTTTTTTGTAATGTGTGATAATTGTAACTGATGTACGTCGTTTTTAACACAATAATAAATAAAATAAATAAACACTTTTAAAATAGAAGAAAAACAATTTTATTTATTAATTTTAGTTGTTAGGCAAAAACAATCAGTCACGTGGCATGGCATTTCGAGCCGTGACGTAACATTTTAATAAATATAAGTACTGTGCCGTCGCAAGAGTCGTCACCGTTTATTTTATTAAAAAGTGCCGTCACACGTTGTCCGTCATAGCCACCCGCGTTTCGGTTCTTGTAATCCGTAGATTATAAATTACAAGTTAATTTTGCAAAAGCAAAATATAATTTATTTTAAACCAAAAAATACTACATATTTACCTTTTATATTATAATTTGTTAGAACTGGTAAGGAGCAAAGAATAATTTTCTTGTTGAATATAGATTTAAAATTTAACATTATTAAGATAATATTTGTTAAATAACAACAGTGATATTTTCCGGTGTATAGCGTCATCAGCCCTTTTACGTCCCCGCTGCAGGGGCTTAGGGTTTCCATATAGATGATTAAGGATGCCATGACCCTTCACTCTGGCCCAATGCGGATTGGAGGGTATAACGACTGCAGATGCAATCGTGACCAACGGCTTAACGTGCCTTCCTAAGCACGGGATAGCTAGTTATATTAATATTTTGGCCATCCAACCCGTGACCGGCCCTCGCTCTTTTGCTTAACAATAACGATCGCGGGCCGTATAGCGTAATTAAATTATCATCGGTTAACGTTTGTGATGTATTCCTGTGTGTAGCGAAAAGCGGGTCGCTTCTACCCGACTCGCCTCGCCCTGAATATAGCGAACGTGCGGGGGGATGGCGGCCCGGAATTCTCGCTACAGGGGGCCGGCGCCCCCAGCGGGTACATAATAGTGGAGACCAACTACCGCGTTTACGCGTACACGCAAACCACGCTCCAGGTCGCCCTGCTAGGACTCTTCACCGAGCTGGTCTATAGGTATGTATACAGCTAACTTCAAGCCAGCGGGTCCGCCCGCCTGGTCCCTAGGGAACTATTTAATTGAATAGTAAACAATCGTTACTATGGTAACTTTTTCATTCCCTATAAAAACTTCCACTCCCATTTTCGTCACTTTATTTGCTGTTTTTCCCGATAAAATATTGCTTATGTTCACCGTACATGATGTGTATTCTCGTAGGTAAAAGAATTTTTTAAATCGGTCCAGTAGTTTCGGAGCCCATTCATTGCAAACAACTCAATCTTGCTGCTTTATAATATAGTATAGATAATCAACTCATCTGTGCGCGCGGCGGTATGTGTGGGTAATCCTTGTACATATACAGTGACTTTATGTATGTGACAAGAAGTACAGCCAAAAACAAATACAGTAATTTAAAAAAAAAATTAAATACAAAAATACAAAAGTATAACAGTGACTACCTATGACCTCTTGTAAATTAGTAAAGATAAATTATTATTTTTTTAAAACAAGTTTTTAGTACCCTCTTAATATAGATAATATGGATTATTAAAAAGAACGAAATTTGATAAATACATGTTTGTTGAATTTATGACTCAGAATCGCTGAACTGAATTTATGAAAAAATAAACTATTAATTTTCAAAAGTTAATAAAAAATGCTTAATCATAACATCCGATTCCACGTCAAAAGAACCAAACAGTTTAGATAATGATTGTACCCATACAAAAAAGCTATAAAAACGCGTTGCTCGGACGACGACTGAGTGACATTAAAAAATGGCTTTTTGGTTCTATGGAAATGAATTCACAAGTCCGCAGTAATCCACAAAATTCATTGTTGTTGAAAGACATAATCTAGGGCGCCAAGTTTCATTGAGCCGGCGCTGCTGGTCAGTAACGGCGTTAGGGTAGGGCGCGGTTGGGCTACCGCCCAGGGGCGCCGGACGAAAAGGGGTGCCGCAGGCTCCTTTTTCGTCCGGCGCTTCTTTCTGATTCTGTATAATGAGGAAGTATTTTAAAAAAAACGAAAGCACTACAAAAATACCTCCACCTAGATGGCGACTCTAGCAAAAGATGATTTTTGCAGGAAACGAATGGAACAAAGATAGTCATTTCCGTTCATTTTAAGTAACATATTAAAAAACTGAAATTTGAAAAGTTCGAAACTTAGATATCAATACAAATAGAATATGAGTTGTTAATTGAGTTTTGAAAACTAATTTACTTTTAAACATGAAAGAAATCTGGAAGGGTTGTCATGGAGAAATCAAGAACATACCGTAGCGACATCTAGTTTGATTCGGGAACTAATGTTTATTTTTCTAATACTTCCTCATTTCCCACAGACGCCCTCTTATAGTTCCCTTCCTCATTTAACAAAGCCTACTAGGTCGGCGAAAAAAGAACAAGAACCTTGAGGATTTTTTTTATTTTCAAGTTGCCTCACTTTCAGCATGATTTGAAAGGAAACTTAACAGCAAAAATATTATATTATGGTAAAACAGAACAACATACCGATTACCAATACCAAGATATGTATTTTATTAGGTAATATGACGTACATTGGCGGACATTATTGCTCGGTCATTTGAGAAAATTTTCGTTTGAGCATGTTTAAACATTAAGTTGAAGCTAAAATGCTGCAATACAAACGAATGCATCGGCAGTGGAACCTCTGTCTGGCAAGTCAGATGGAATTGCTACTCAAGAGATTGTGGATGAAAAATCCCGAAGTAAGGGAGCAAGTTGTGCTATGATTACAGATGCTGCTCAGGATAAATCTGCTATTGATGTACAACAAATACATGTACTAGATGATGTTGATACTGTTGTCCCGAATATAGCGGATCCAGCTACTTGTCCACTTATTTGAAATAGCAAAATAATTGATTATATAATAAGTAGTGGCCCACTGCAAACTCACTGTCACAAAGTTACAGCAATTACCCAAAGTTATAGATAACAATTATGTGACACCCTGTTAGGGTAAAATTGAATCTGTACTTACCTAATGATGTGATCCGTCAAAAATGAATCAGCTACTTATACACTATTTATATGTCTACTTTTTAAATAATGTCACTATATAGTTGGAATAAGAGCATCGTAACGTAGCGTTAAACGTTTGATTACTGTTTGTTTGTTTTAAAATAATCAAATAATTGTTTTAAGAGCGTCCATTTATGTCAAGCAAGAAGATAATTGTTGATTGTGTTCTTCTTCGTCAAAAATTAAAAGGGATGGATCTAGGGAATCCCCGATTATAGAAAAACACATTGTTTCTGTATGGTCGGAAAGTCGGGGATTCCCGAGAAATTAAACCGATTGAACACACTTTCCATTCTAATGCTGCCAACTTAACAATCTACCTAAATTTAGGGAAGATTACAAGTAAGTAGGCCGGGTCGGCGAAAAAAAGACAAGCAACTGATTTGTAGTATGTAGTAGTAACTGATTGTAATTGAATTGCAGTTAAGAGGGCGCCGAAGAAATTTCGCCCAGGGCACCAGTAGTGCTAAAACCGGCACTGCTGCTGGTGATTACGTCTACACGGCTGAACGTCACGCTACTACTACAATATATCAAATCTATCAATCTACCAACAAAGAAATAAGTTTTAAAATCGAATGAAGAAATTTGACAGTTCCGCATAGTTTTAATGAAAAACCATTGAGCTACCCGAGACCCAACAGGACTATTGAATATTTCAGACAATTGCAACTTTTCGCTACTAGTGAGCGTATTTTCATCAATCCACTCGAACAGCCCAAAGAAATATATTTACAAATCCCATCTCAAGGTACCTGGACCTGGTGGATTTTTTTAACTTTAGTTATTATTAAAATATTTAACACTGGTCGATTTTTTAAGCTTTATTTATTATTTAAATATTAATCAGTTTAGCATTGTGAATGGAAAATGTATCAAATATAACAGTCTCGCATAGCCTGACATGCTGTAAACATTTTGTTGACAGGTTCCCTAACCTAGTGGTGGGCGTGGTGACGCGAGAATCAGTGCGTCAGGCGTTGCGCGGCGGCATCACCGCAGACCAGATCCTGCATTACCTTCACCAGCACGCTCATCCGCAAGTATATACAACGCACTATATATCTTCTAACATTTCTGGTCTCTTTGAAAGCCATAAACAAAAAAGTACCATTTGTAAATCCAAAAATTAGTTTTCTGATCACTTACCTTATTATCACCTTATCTAGATTGGAAGAGAAAATATATTAAAAACACACAGTAATTTTCATTTACATTAAAAAATAATATACTTTTTCGTAAAAATATCACCAGTCCCAGGTGTCCGAGATGAGATTGGAACCTTTCGCAGTCCAGGCTCTAAAATTGAGTTACCCGAAAAAGAGAAGCGAGACTAGCGAATTTTTGCCCTAAGACAAAAATTCCTATCATTCGACTAGTCTAAAACTAAGATATATTGCCCAAATAATCAGTAATTAAAAATGAGAAAACAACACCACATATTAGTGCGACCAGAACGTGAATTCCTAAAACTTATATCAAATTAATTATTGCGTTAAAATATACCATAAACATTTAAATCAAAGTTTAAATGCAATTAAAATGCGTTATTTGTTCTGTGACATAAACGTTCAAATTGACAGCCATTATGACTGCTAACTAAAAATAACGATTCAATCGATCCGAATTTGATATATTTGAAATAAAAGTTAAACATATATTTGTATTTGTGCTGAATTACTTTTGATAGTAGTATCTTAGACGTATATGAAAATGTGACTGTTAATGTTGATCTTATCGAAATTCAGTCCTAAAATCATCGTTTTGAATCGATTTCTTCAAAATGAATTCATGTGTTTCCATTATTGATATTGTCATTTATTTTATTTTATTAAACGAAGACGTCATTGTTTTACTTTGGTCGTTTGTAGTTACGTGACTCACAGTTTAAAAACCATTATTTTAAAATGAGAAAATTCTTTGAAATTCGTTATTAATTAATTAATTTTAATATTCTTTAGATTCTGATTACATATCGCGTTATATTTTAGTTATAATTATTGTTTATCACGGTACCTCCGTACTTAAAATTAACTCATTGTATAGATGTTAAAAAGTGAAACTGGCGGTATCCGTTCTACATCGTTACTGCCCCCCACCGTGGTGGATCAGATCCGGTTGTGGGAGGACGAGAGGAACCGGTTCACGTACACGGAGGGCGTCGTCTACAATCAGTTCTTGTCACAGGTACGCCTCCGCAATACTTAAAAACAATTACGCCAATGTTGTTTCCTTTTAGTTATCGCATCGATCTATTATATCCTTCATCACCATCTTATTAATGTCCCCACTGCTGGGATCGCATAGGGATCGACTTAAATCGCATAGGGAGAATGGGTATTGACCCATCACGCAGGCCCAATGTGGATCAGTGGGTGTTAACGGGGCCAACAGCTTAAGGTGCCTTTTAACTATCAAGCTTTAGAAAACTCTTGCACATTTTTGTGACGAGCTCTCAATCTATATACATTATTTGCCAGGCGGACTTTGTGGTCCTACGCGACTATGCCAAGCAGCAGGGCGTGCTCACGTGGCAGAGCGAGCGCGCCAGAACCATGGTGGTTACTCGCGCATCCCACGACGACGTCAAGAAGTTCTGGAAGCGATACTCCAAGACATCGTAATCGCATGAGCTGGACAAACTAGCAGGCCCGGTTTTATTTTTTTTAACCGGGTGTCAAAATCTTCATATAGCCCCTCCCCACATGAGGTGGGGATATAGGATCCGTGCCTACAAACTACCGCGCGGCTTCAGCAAGAACAGTCTACATATAGGTACTGTTATTAAAAGATAACTTCACGAGTTATGGCGGTGATTTCGCGCCTTTCTTTTGTTGAATTTTTCTCACCTATATTTTCATATTTATTTGTTAAAAAAAAAAAATAGTGGATATAGGCTGAAGAAATAACGAATGCTGTCAAATATAAAAAAAATAACTAATACATTTTCGTGATGACTACAAGAAAAAGGGTTGCGATGAAACACTTGCTAAGATTTCCTTCAGGGCAGGCGACTCCTTGAATTTAGAAATGAATTGTTGACTATCTAGTCCATTCCGAAATAGGAAAATTAGTGAAAAGTCAAATTCCGTAATTTCTGAGATAAACGAGAGTTTCTGTCAAGCTTCAATATTTATTTAGCGAATTATCACCGCCATGTCCCTGACTAAAGAATGGTAGATTTAATTATAACTTAATAAGTTTTTTGTTTATTACAAATACTAAGAAGACTGGCGTCCTTACGGTAGTACCGCATTGTCATGTAAATATCTATAAAAATAATTCAATTTTCGCTTCGTCCCACACTAATCAAATGATGGTCAAAAACAGACTGTAACAGTTTTAAATTCGCTGTAACAGTATTGACTGACGCTCCCTTACTGATGTCTACTCGGCAACATATTTTATCAATCATTATTATTGTAAATACAGCTGAAATAATATTGAAATATTCTCTCGATGTGTCATTAGGCCGCGGCTCTAGATGGTAATATAGGCATAGGATAGGGTCAAAATTTGTTGATTTCGGTATATAAAGATGATCTCTGTTTTCTTATAATAAGAAACGCGGAATGATTAGAATTATGGCTTTAGTTAAATAAGTTATGTAAATAAATATTTTTATACGTCAACAATGTGCTGTTATTTTCCTTACATGATGAAATCCTCTAGTTCCGTCTGTTATTTGTTATTCATATTTACGTCTAATATAATCTACATTAGTCGTATACTAAACTGAAATTTTGCGATAATTTTTTTTTAACGTTTGAGTTTAAAATAAAAAAAAAACACCTTTAAAATCAAGCTTTACTAAAGTAAAATCCAAAAATGTCAGTTGGATGTCATTGGTTTTTCGCTGTCGTTATGTAGATTAAGGATTAAGGATTTTTCAGTATTAATCAATTAAAACTTTAACATCAGTGGTGTTATCTTTCGCTCACTTTTTTTCAACACAATTAATTAATTTAATAGTGGTCTGTGGTTAGACTCAATATGATTATGTTTAAATCATTGTTTATATAAAATTATTTCTTAATTAACGTATTAAAATCGTATTAACGTATTAAGTTGTTTTTGGTAAATCTATGTAGAAAGATAGAATTGGTAATTCAAAATTTGTTTTGTTGAATGAATGTATTTAAATCGTGTAATGGTCTCCTACGTGAAGTTGGCAGTAATGTGATGACGCAAAGTGCCATTAAAGTTAAGAAGAAGAAAGATATCAAGACGGTATTAGGGTGTCAACAAAAAACTAAGATAAATTACAAATTATATTACAACATTAACAGTCTTATCGCTCACTTACTTATTTTCGTGTACACTTTTGAGCTTAAATTAATTCACAGGTATTTTTTGCAAACAAATCGCCCATACACAATCTGTACTTTTTAATTATATTATATCATATAAAATATGTACATAATATTCTTTATTTCAGTAAATTTATTGAATGAATATTGAACACTGTATTTTTATTTATAATTCTCATAATAATATGAAAACTAAATCCGCTTCCATAATGAATTTTCCACCGCAAGTAAATTAAGATTTTGTCTGTCACAGTCATGCCAACCCTGTTAGGCTCTTATAGTGATAAATTATTAAAAATACTGCATCTCAGAAAATTCTTAATAGAAATAATGTTGAAACGACAAGGTGAAGTGATGAGCACGAACACTTGCGCACAATCCATGTCGTGTTTGAAGGAAGCTATAACAAAAAAAGGCATCCTTTTTGATCAAACTTATTAATTATTGCTGTACTACTAATATTGTACGGAATAGGGTCCTATGGAGACCCGTATAAAAAACATTGTCTTTTCTACATGAAGTACAATGCCTTCCATACTCATCAATGGTAATAGATATATAATAATTTTGGACATCGAGTAAATAGTGCAATGGCAAAATGCAAGTCGTTGAGATTCTATTCATTATCATCATCATCAGCGCTTTTACGTCCCCACTGCAGGGGTTCAGGCCTTCCTTATGGATGGTTAAGGAGGACGAGCCATGACCCTCCACGCTGGCCCAATGGGGATTGGAGGGTATTAACGACTGCAAATGCAGCCGGGACCAACGGCTTAACGTGCCTTCCGAAGCACGCAGTAGCTCTTAATATTTTTTTGGTCACCCATCCCGAGACCGACCCTTGCGAAAGTTGCTTAACGACAACGATCGCGGCCCGCGGCGCTTATACACTACGCCACCGAGCTACTCTATTGAGATGCGATTATTACGTAAACATTAGTAGAATAGGCATAGTGTTGCTGATGTGGACGTGTTGTAGTTACCCGTTGCAGACGTGACGGTGGTTACTCGTCGACAGTGTTGGTGTGGACGTGTTGTAGTTTGACGGGCGCGAGAGCTTGATGTAATCTCCTCAGCGCAGCTTGAACCACTCGCTCCAGACCCTCGTCAGCTTCACACTTCACCTCCTGTTAATGATACACTTGTTGTCTTTTAAACGATAAATATGCATGCACCACAGAACATAGAGAGAGATTAGAAGTATAATGATATTAATTTAGTATGGGAACCGAGTGTCGCCTCTCCGCACACAAATACAGATTAGATGAAATGATCATTTTGTTCAATACATGAAAAACCGCCACGCGATAGGTTCGCGATAACATAAATCAAATCCCAAAAAGATACTAAGCTAAGAAATCACACGATTAAAAACAAACTCTAATTCAACGTGATAATAAATAATTAACTTTAACATGAATGTTGAACTGTCACGTGGCTGTATATGGGGATACCAGAAGGAAAAAAATATTTTAAGATTATGCACATTTAAAAAAATTGGGGTCATCATTTTATGTGCGAACTATTAATATTAGATTAAGCTGTAACCAAGTGAATACTGAAAAATGAAGGCTTTTCCCTACATAATTTATTAAAATATCTTTTAAGAAACCCAGTACAAAAACTAAGAAAACTTAATGATACACTCTATCGTATGTCTGTGGAGTAATATAATTAAGCGAGGGAAAGTGTAAAAAAAACAAAAATTTTTGTATTAATTACATTAAGCCTAATTTGTATTTTTTTCTTACTGGTATCATTCCGATTGTGCATATTAGTGATGTGACATATTAGTTGATAAAATAAGAGCTTTAAATTTTGTTATGAAACAGTTCAATGTAATTCAGTTCGACAATTTTCTACAGTGGTTTGATAGTAATTATTTAAAGCTTTATTCAAATAAAACGAAATACATAAAGTTTGCATTACCTAATGTGAGGCATGTTAATATACTTATAAATGTAAATAGTGAAAAAGTTGAGTTGGTGGAATCGACAAAGTTCCTTGGTATTTTGGTATATTGATAATTTGTCAAGTAGACTGAGTTCTGCAGCATTTGCTGTTAAGAAAATTAGACTCTTAACAAATCTTGAAACGGCAAGATTGGTATATTTTAGTTATTTTCATAGTGTAATGAATGACGTATAATCTATTGTTATGGGGTTCTGCGGCCAGCATTATTATTCTACAAAAGAGAGCTGTCCACGCTATATATAATTTACGGTCTAGAGAATCTCTCAGAGAAATATTTAAAGAAATAAATATTTTGACTGTTGCCTCTCAATACATCAATGAAAATATTATGTACGCAAGAAAACATTACGATTCCTTCACAAAAAAAAAGTAGAAATAAATATAAACTTGCCATTCCAAGTGCTTGTAATAGCCTTCTTGAATAAAAATATTTTCATTTCATTTCATAATAACTAATATGATCATTACACTAATAAATTGATCATAGCCATGTTTGTTTTACTTTATTATTCTAAATTTTATATCTGTATAATAGTAGTAGCTACATTATTAATTGCAACGACTGGACAATAAGGAATTGCTGGTCAAGTATGAGTTTGAAAGCCGTGACAAAAAAAGTTTGAAGATAGACACAAAAGCGATAAGTACGTACAAACGTCAATCTACATATAAAGTCACATCCGTTTGAGACATGCGTCTATAAACTTATGTGCAAATATGGAGCAACAAAAAACTGATAAAAGCTGTTCTGTGGGCGGTTCTTTAAAGTGGCTTTCTTAACTCGATTTCTATAATTATAGTTTCCGATTATGAATCAGCATAATAAGGTAAATTAAATTGACGCCTAAAAATTAATTTTGTAAATTAAATTCACACCACCAACAATATTACGTTAGTTGAAAACATAATTTTTTGTTTGTATAGATATTATGTTGTTTTGAAATTCATTTGATAGGTTTAGGTCTAAAACAGATAGGGCAAAATTAATTATGTAAACAAGGCAATCCGTTGTAAAGTTATTAGGGAAACTGAAATATAAGTAATGCAAAATAAGTGAAATCCAGTTTCACCAGTTTCTAACAAGACCTATTAGGCCAACTCTTAGCTTTTCACGAAGTTTCGTTTAATTTATGTATTGTTCATAAAACGGTGATATACTTCGTAACTTAGATATTTATAGCACATCAGTAATTTTTAATATTTATCTGCGTGTAAATAATTAACCGAATCTTCGTAAAAAAAGTGCCTGGACAGTTCATTATTTCATTTGTTCAGTATCAGTTCATCTATAATTTTCCCTTGTAAAGAGTATTTTTTAGTTTTATATAATTATGGCATATATTTATCGATAACGTTGTTATGAAATGATGAAAGAAAAGCTCTAAATAAATATGTTTTAGTTATCGATTACGATCCATATAATTAACAATACGATTCCGAGCAGCAGCAGCCTATCGGTACATTTCAGACAAATGGAGGCACAGCACTATTTTTTGCAAAAGTGCACAAAATGATTTACATTGCTGTTTAGTAATGGGGTCAGAAACATTGATGTTGGTTTGAGCAATCAATGTATATTTTATTTAACATTGTGTCAAATTATTACGTTTTTTATATTTTAGCACTAAAATTGTACTTACCAGTGAAAGGAAATGTTTGCATTAGTTAGATTGTATACTTTGCTTTGCTTTTTGCAAGTGATAATAGCACAAAACGGCATTTTTTATAGAAAAAATCTGTAAAATCACCACTCGACGATTGACGAACGACTGGCAAACATAAAACCGAGGAAAGGGCGTCATATGAGTAAAAGCGCATATGCCAGCGACGCGTGCCCCGCCCACTTACTACTTCTATTCTCTCTCTATGTTCTGTGGCATGCACCGTAAAAAGTATATAAAAAGCTGATATTTTTGGTTACGAGAGTATTACAACAGCTGTATCTGTACACTGTCTATTAATTTAAAAATAAATATTAATATTACGCCTATTTGGAATAACGAGCATTACAAAATATCTACATTACAACACATTTTAATTAAATACACGTAATTTCACTATAAAAAAAATACAATATGTACAACAGACTAGCTAAGCCGTGTCGTTTTTCCATTTTTGCAACATTTTTCATTACTGCTCCACACCTATTAGCCATAGCGTGATGTTATATTTCAATAAACAATAGGGATGATGACTGGGTAAAAAAAATACAATTCTATTTAGTCCGTCAGTAAGATAATAGAAAAATATTAGATACGTATTTTTTTTTTACTTCAATTTAACAAGAAATAATATAGATAACAGGCATCAAAGTTGAAGAGTGGGGGCTCGCTACGTCACAGTTGAGTAGAAAACGTACTCTAACGTGACGTCATGCGAAATTTCAACTCAATATAACGCCGTAATTTTATGATAACGAAAAAAATAAAAAAATACGTGTTTAATATTTTTTAATATTCTACCTGACGGACAAACAAACAAAAATTAGTCATCATCCCTATTCAAATTTATAATATTGGTACAGATGGTAACGCACCATGGTGGTGAGATCTATATCTGCTCGCTTGCCGCCCACTGTAACGTGTAACCGATCACCCTTGAACATCTTCGGCACCGCCTCCTCACCGAACATCTCTTGAAGCATCTCTATCACACACTCCTGCACAATAAACATCAGATATATAAACATCAGAGATATAGAGAGAGAGAGATTTCCGCCAGCGGTTTCACCCGCGTGTTCTCCAGGGAACTGTTTATTTGGATATCGATTCATACTATGACGCGGATATAGATACAATGACAAATTCTAAACAATATGGTAACATTTTAATTTCCTATACAAACTTTCACTTCCATTTTCATCCCTTTATTTGCTGTTCGGGATAAAATATAGCTTACGCTCACCGCATTTGATGTAGCTTCACGTAGGTGAAATAATTTTTTAAATCGATCCAGTAGTTTTGAAGCCTATTCCTTGCAAACAAACAAACAATTGCAACATAAAAATATTTAAAAAAATACAAATATAAGAAAAACGGATACAACAATAAATAATAGACTTAAAATACTTATAAGCACGTAGGACCAACGTATATGCACGCTGCATCAAATTGCAGCGAGATAGAATACTTTTTTCGCGAGTCCAACCATAAGGTCATGTTAATTGAATTGTGACGTAAAGGCTCAAATTGCCACGTGACTGATTGTTTCCGCGGGACAATTTGAATTAATGAATAAAAATTTTTTATTTCTTTATTAAAACCACTTTCATTGTACACTTTATATGCATATATATTTTAATTATAGCTTTTAATTACGATTTTCAAGTTTTCAAATCGTAAAATTTTATGTCAAAAATTTATTTTGTTAAATATTTATAAATTAAAATGGTACAAATTTTAAAACACACAACAGAAACGTGTACATGTGTTTAACGATTCTATGCTATGAACATACCTTGTAGTGCATGCGGTCCAGTTTGGGTGCGAGTGGGAGGTGTTGCTGCGCGGGCAGTTGTGCGGCGGCGAGCATGCACGCCACCGCCGCGTCCGCGTACATGTCCGACACGGGAGACGCTTGCCACTGAGGGAAATCATCATCATCAGTGCCTAATTAAGCCTGTAGCACATTTTTAACCCCCCCCCCCCCCCAAAAAAAAAACAACAGACATACAAAAACAACAGAAAAGTCGTCCTAAGCGAGACCTGCAGCAAATATTCCTCCCACACAGACACAAAAACAGCAGAAAATTCGTCCCATGATTTCCGAATAACACAACACAATCAATCTGTGACTTGAGTTATTACTTAAAATATGAATTGAGAAGCGTGGCTTATTTTATTAACTATACCGTTTGAGGCCGGTGGCAAATTCATCTGATATTCAATTTTTTTTTTTTACTTATCGTGTAATAATGGAGTAAGTGGTCTCCTCTGATCGGGGGCCCCTTCCAGCTGGAGGCTGGAGATTTGCCAATTTGCCACCCTGTAGTTACGCCACTGTTTTTAACACAGACTTTTTATTAGCTCTGAACCATAACGAAGCTCCAACCGCGCGGGGCCCGTAACATCTGCTACTTTTGCTACGTGACTATTCCAATTGTTATAGTGTACAAATAGTGTTTTCTCAATGAGGAAGTATTTAAAAAAAACGTTAATTCCCGAAATCAAACAAAATGTCGCTACGGTACTTTCTTGATTTCTCCATGACAACCTCAATAAACAACTTATATTCTATTTGTAGTCTTTCGTATTTGTATTGATAAGTAAAGAACTTTTCAAATTTCTGTTTATTTATATGTTAGTTAAAAGGAAAGGAAATGACTGTCTTTAGTCTATTCGTTTCCTGCCACGGCCCGTCAACTCCGTACAATAAACCAATCGCGTAGGGGTCCAGTGATGTATGACATTTCCACACGCCCCTCACCCCTGTCAGTAGATGGAGACATGACACCTGACAGAAACTGTCATTACAACAAAGAGTAAAGATACTAATGTTTTAATTAATCTTTTATTAATTTTATTTGTTGGAATTAATTTGTTCATTTCACATTGGCAAAATTGTGTGAAATGCGCAGATATGCCATTAATAAAAGAAGAAGAAGACTAAAGTATGTACCTACATATCAGGGAATTACAAGTAATTGAGTAAAGTTTCTTTTGTGCTTACCCTGTTCGCTTTATTTGTAATATAAACTCTCCATTTTTCGAAATATTTTTATTTGTAGAAGATGCCTAAGAAATTGGTGTGTTGTGTTATGGTTGTGTTACACGCATTGTTAAAGTACGAACAGGACGCTATTCTATGTAAGATTCTTGTGAACGAGAAAAGATTCTCCAAGTGGTTATAATGTCTTAGTGCTGTGTGTGATACTGAAAATTTGAAACCAGGCAGAAGTGTCATTTGTAGCAAACACGTTGTACCAAGATTCATTACTCCAAAATCACGACTCTTGAGTGACGCATATCTGTCATTGTTTAATGATGATGGGCTCTCAATCGGCCTACCTTCTTCAAGCTATACCGGTAAGGCTGGTTTAACCTGCTATTACCTTTAGATAATGTAATTAAAATGATATGTATCTTCACTTTATGTTGTGTTTTGGAATTCCGCTATTCTTCATTTGATTTTTCTTTTATTACAGAAATTATATTCTCTTGGGAACACAGCTATGCAAGAAAAAGTCATGTTGACCACACATATTAGAAAGTGGAACTGAACAGAGGTTTGTTTTTAATTTATTTTATTTAGATAACAAAGTTCATGCTGCAGTTTTTGTGTATTCTAATATAGATTTTTGCTTTAAAAAAGTCTAGCAGATCTCTCTTTCTTACACACATAAAGAAAAATTACATTAAGTTACTTAAATCTAGCGGGCACGCTAGAAGTGATTTTGATCAGAGAAAAAATTGATAATATAAATAACATATTTCTAATATCATCTAATATTATATCCTGTTTTTTAATCTTACACACATAATCAATATTGATTTCATAGGTGGTGTAATTTTAAAAGAACAAATTGAGACTCCTGCAGCCACTGAGTTTACTCAATTAGTTGCTTGCTCTGGAGATTAAAATATGACACAAACTAAACTATCTAGTAAGACCTGTCTCTTTCTTTGGTGTATCTTTATTTCAGTCAAATAGTAGTTCTAATAGAGAAATTCACTGAATACTTTTGATGTTACAGACCCTGTGAAATGTACCCAAACAAAAAGGAAAAAGCTTATTACCAAATAAAGCCAATTGTCACCTTTATACCAGAGAATTTATGAAGAATATAACAAGCCAAAGACATAGTTTAACTTTCTTAAAAAAGTTAAGAATACTTAAGTAAATACCTTTAAGTTTTGTAAAAAGTTATCATTTGAGAAGTTCAGATAAAAAATGAACACAGTTGCAAAAAATGTTTTTGAAATGCATGTGAGCATGTGCTCTAAAAATAAACATGTGAGGTGATTCACTACCGATGAAAAGATAATTGCTTTATCAATATCAAAGCAGAGTCCAAAGTGTTATTGATTTTTAAGCAAAATTTTTTATTTTATCATCCAAAACTACACTGAATACTATGATTAAAAAATTGATCATAGAATCAGGCTTCATGTAAGAGGTAAATATATTCCATATAAGTTTTTTCATACTACTTTTATAATTTTATATATTACTACCAAATAATAATATTTACTTTTTCTACTACTATTTGAATTTACTTTTTCAGGTGGACAAATGAAACTCCAAAAAAATATGCTCCATTATATTTGATGAGATTTCATTAGAAACAGCACTTTCGTATAATAAAAGTAATAAGGATTAAAGATAACATTAATGGATTTGTAGAGCACCAAGAAAAGAAAGTGGATTTTGCAGATCATACTCTTGTATTTATGTTGGTGCTGTCTACAAGTGGCAACAGCCTTTATGTTTATTTATTTCTGTCAAGGAGCGACATCTACTGTACATCAAGAATATTTTAAAGTTAGTAGTAGAAAAAGTTGTTGAATTGGACCTTAATCCCATCGCAATAATATATGACCAAGGCTCAGCTTTCCAATCAGCACTCAAAAATCTAAAAGAAGACACTTAGTGTGATCAAATTTTAAATTGAAATCACAGGTTGGTACAGAGAATTATATTTATATGAAAGAAAACTAATAGATTTAATGAAAGTAGTGAAGGTTCTTATTTTTATATTGTTATAGTTTTAAGAAGTTCTTAAATTTTTGTTTCAGTTGGCAGTCTTAAAATATGTGGGGTGGATTTGAACATTATGATTCTACACACTTGATAAAATGTATCAGGAATAATTTTGGTGGTAAACTTGCAAAATGCCATGATATTATTTGTCTATGAGACAGACTGTCAACACCACAGAAATATATCTAGTTAGAAGGAAAAAGTGTACGTACTTCGCGTGCCGAAACGACGTCTAGACAGCTTCATTGCTCGACGCGAGGCTCAGTCCACTTTCGATCGCAATCGGTGTTGGACAAAATTTAAAATGACGCGTTGTTCGATAATTACCTGCTCAAACACCACCAACATGGTTGGACCTTATAGTCGAGGTATTTCCTTCCATCGGTAAGTAACTATTTGCCTTGATATATCTATTTTGAATTAAAAATCATTAGTTTTGTTGCTCCGTATTATTTTTATCAAAACGGTCATGTGTCCAGTAATAGCTTTCCATTGCGGCTTTAATTTGACAGTCCAAATTTGCTGTGCTTGTAAAACCATCGATGTATAATTCAAGGTCAATTTGTTGGAGGACAAATTATCATTTTTTTCTGTCAAAAATGGAGAATAGTGCTGTACAATGCGATTATTTTACCCGAATAAAAAAATATCGTTTTTGAAAGCAGAAGAAAGGATAATTAATTTTATATTGAATTATACTGTAATTTTTGTTTTAGTTTTCCGTATGATCCTCATAATAAAAATAAATGGATTGAAGCAACAGGACTCTAAGGCAAATAGTAGGTATACTTACTGGACATGGAAACTTTAACAAACACCTATATAACATGGGTTATTCTGACAGTCCTCTGAGCAGGGCGTGCATGGAGACTGAGGAGGAGACTCCTCAGTCTCCATTCCAGTATCACATAAGCGCTTGTGCACTCATGTGATACTGGAATGCAAGAGCCTATTAAGACAAAAGGACTACATATCTATGAAGCCCAAGGATACTAGTGGAAGCATGCGGCAGAGTTCGAGATCTTACGGGCTTCCTGGAGGAGCTGGGGTGGCAGGACTAAAGCAACCCCGTGTCATGCAAAATAGGCACTGAGTATCGAGTTGCAGAAAAGCCCGCCGTGAAACATAACATAACAACACAGGACGTAAAAATGTGTAGCGTGTCGGGAGGGGGTAGCGGCTACTACAAAGTGTTTGCCCACAGAAAAATGCCGATTTCTATTCTATCACATAAAATCTTTTTTGCGCCGATTCACTAAATTACATTCGTGAGTTCGTGACATATACATAATATTTAAGCAAAATGGTAGTCTGTCTATAAAGTCATGAAAAAAATTGAGGGCGCTGCGATCGTGCACGTAGCAACCCTGTGTAGTGAGACAAATGATTTTGATAGTAGGTTTTTTTTTTACTTTTATTACCCCATTCGTAGATAATGAGTTTATTCTACATTGAAGATTACAATATAGTAATCGTAATTTTTGATAAATCTTTTTTTTTATAATTGTCAAGTTGTTTTCTCGTTTTACTGCAATGTGTGCTTGTGTTCGATTAAAGCCTGTTACTTTGACACTATTTGTAAGAAAACCCAATATATTTCAGAATTTAACGCAGAACTTCTAGGCTACAATTAAAATCCAGATCGGTTTTGGCAATCCACTGATGTTTTCTTCATGTAGGTACCTCTTTTTTTCACAGAGTAAAAGAACTGAATCTTTTGTCGAAGTGCACAAATGTTGCAGTTAACCATTTATTTCTTAGGACGACTATCTATGTTTCCCAGGGGTTTCAAATATGCTACCATTTTTATAACCTTCATCAACAATACGTATCACTATATTCTCTGATTTTCCTGAAAGTAAGTTTTAAAAATGTAATACCTATAGGTATTTGGCAAAAAGAATGGAATCGCCACAATGATCAAATTAATGCTATAATTTTAGTAATATAAAGCACAAACTTTTTATTGGCGTACGTAGGTAAAAATCGTACATTCCTAACAGGTATATTTTTTATTCAGATTAAAATCAATGATAAATTTGATTATCCAAAAGTATTAAAAGTTCGGGCCGCACTACAATATAGCCTTCTAACATTTTCAATCTAACCTATAAATGCATAATGTAAACAATACTTATTTTAGACTTTAATTCATATATTTAGTAAATTTGAAACTTCTGGTAACCAAAACTCAATCAGTAACACGATTACATACCAGCCATAATTGCCGTTCGAGCTTTAACATCCTACAAATATGATAAAATGTGTCCAGCTTCTTGTTACAATAAACATCACTGAAAAACTTTATAAATAATATCCTGAGCTTCACTCTGATTAATTCTCTTCATTTTTAACACTTTTCGACGGAGTTTAGAAGAAGTAGCTTCAGTTTAATCAAAACAAATCAAAAATGCAGAAAACCGAGCTAAAAAATCAAGTTGTTGACAGTCGATGTACTTTGATTCAGTGTTGTCATACTTGTGTCTAATGATAGTTCCTCAAACATTCTTTTCATGACTTTATAGACAGACTTTACACGTTGGTCTCCGTCGATCGATATCGTTTTTTCAATCGATAAGAATCGGTATGCCGTTTCAAATACAACATGTATTCGATGCAAGTGAAATTATGTCTTCCATCAGTAAATTAAGATCGTGACGTCATGATACCTACACAAAATGTGGCACGCTCGGTCTCCATATAAATCGACGAACATTTTCCTTCTAACTAGATTTATTTCTGTGGTCAACACACTAAAGCTGGGCTACGTCATAAATAAAATGACCAATGAGTTATACCTGATAAAATTAAAAAGATGAAGGTAATGCATTGGTTATTATATTAGTATAACTTAAATTAGTATAAATAAAATAAATAATTTGTATTCAGCTTCTATATTCTCTATCAGAGCAAGTGTTGATTCAATGACCTGTATTTTTAATTATGTAACACGTAGTTAATATAGTTTACACTTTAATTACAATAATGATTCTCTAATGAAGAATTTTAAATATGATATCTCTTTTTGCAGGTAAAAAATTGTGTAAAAATATGTCTGCAGCTTTGTCTTACACTGCAAATTTCTGTGAGTATTCGATGAAATTTACTAACAGTTAATTGTTTTGAATCAAGTTTCATACAATTATTATATGAATATTTTAATTTGCAGCAACTTATGAGGGTGTGCACAACATTAAGAAATGCAGCTGAAGTTGTTTCATTCTTTGACCAATTATTTGATAGTGTAAATGGAGCATCGATAAACAAAAAAGCATAAAGGAAAAGAGCTGTGACAGATAAGACACACCAGCATTCTTTCTGGCCAAAGGCAATTGAAATTTTAGAAAAACTTAAATATGTGTATAAAAAGGTATGCTAGGAATTGCCGAGAATGCAGAAGAGAGCTGTGAAAAATATAATAAGTTAAAAAATAAATTATTCAATAAATAATATTGGAAAAATGTGTGTTTTATTTACGTGTTCATTTTTCCTTTTTTGTTTTAAATTAAAGTAAAAATAATGTGGAAACTAGGAAGACGGCTAGGTACCTACCCAAAACAGGGCTGTATAGCTAAATGCCTTTGCCGATAATAGATCATATATTTAAAACGAATGAAGCTGTCATGTATCACTGGCTCCCAATCACGTTCTACGAAGAAATTTTTTGTTAGGAAGTTGGTCGTCTGATACCTACTAAGTCTGTGGTTTCCTGCAAAAATCAACTTGAAAATAAACTTCTCTTTTAGTGCTTTCGTTTTTTTAAAATACTTCCTCATTTTGATAGTGTAGAAATTGTGTTTTCCCAAATATGATAATTTGAAAATTGTATAAGCATGTGTAGTGTGATGGTGTGGAGATTTGATTACCTCTAGTGTGATGGTTTCTCGTTCGAGAGTGAGTTCGACGCAGCCATAGAGCCGCCAGCGAGAATCGCTGAGGAACTCTATGGTCCCCGCGAGCTGCATGAGCACGTGCCGCAGTAGAGGTACCGACCCGCTGTAGTGTATCGACAGACGTTGCGTCACTTCCGACTGACTCAACTCCGTATACTCTACACAAGTGTACAACAAATTCTAAAAACTTTCAGTTTGGCCTAACAGACATTGATAACACTGTAATTTTATAATGTTGCTGAGATCGTAACTATTTAAAAAAGTTACTAATTGCACAAAAGATATCGTCTAGATCCAAACCTTCATAAATATTAAGCATATATTATACATACTATGAATCAATTGCGGAATATTCTTAATAGACAGAAAATCGAATCCATGAAATGACATTAGAGCATAGTATATATGTGTACGTACTGTTCAGGTCCTGAGGAGCCAGTATGTGATAGTTGAAGTTCCTCTTGACGAGTATGCCCTGTAATTGTTTGCCCGGCTGAGGACCCTCCACCGCCAGAGACCCCATTACCTGTCGTCGAGCGTACACTCATCACATAATGAAACCACTCGGCACACAAGATTCATTGCTACTAGTGAGCAAAAAAGTAAGAAGTGCTTGAAAAATTCGTCAGCCCTCGGGTAGCTCAATGGTTAGAGCTGTCGCCCAGATTTCGAAAGGTTGTGTTTTCAAGTCCCATCTCGGGTACCCGGGACTGGAGGACTTTTAAGTATTTATCTTTAATTAAAGTTTCTTTCCATGACTTAATATTTTCTTTTAGATTTTTTTTTTCGGCATCAACAGTTTCCAACAATATACATGAACAAAAAACAACAACATAATAAACCTACAGTTTCCTACATATATATTTATAAATTTAACATAAAGAAACGGTAAATAACAAGTAAAGAAAAAAATAGTAATGAAAAACTTATAGTCTTAATACCGTTCGGTGCTATCAATAAACAATTCATAAACGGCGTCAAAGTGAATTTACGCCAAAATTTCAATTTTAGAATTAGTCCAAATTCATATTATAGATGGAATAAGCAAACATTTAGTAGGTCTAGAAGCAAATATTACGTCCGTAGAACCTCGTACTAGGTTAATCTTTTGTTAAGTTTCCAATTAATAATACGAATTCTGACTAATACTAAGTGCAGAGTCAGCGTAAATTAAATCCAACGCTAAACCTTGTTAATGAATAACACCAATGTATATTGTGTACACGATATACCTTGGCGGTCTTGTCGCCGCGGAACGTGAGCGCGAGCTGTTGCGTGTTGCGCGGCGTGTGTATGTGCAGGCGCGATCGGTGCTCGCGCTGCAGGGCCGCCTTCAGACGGGACATCTCGTTTTGCTCACCGTGCACTAATACCTAAATCGTATAGGTATATCTATCTACACTCAAATCCCTTTTATCTACACTCAAATCGAAAAATTCGAATTACGAATTCAAAGACGATTCTATACATACGCACTTTATAATACATGAAATTAAAAATAAAACTCATTATAGTACCGCTATCTTTTTTATTCATTAAACTAGTCTATGGTTTTAGCCTAAAAACTATGGATTTAGGCTGAATATGAAAAAAATGACGCACGCATGCTCAGTTTGAACTTAATTTCCCGCGCTTCCCATACATTTTTTTGCTGATCGTGTTTTTGTATTCGGGATTCCAAAAAATTACTTCCTTGTAACCTACCTAATTTGTTTAATTTCAATTTTGCCTATGAGTGAAGATAAAGTAGTGTATTAAACTACATATAACTTAGGTATTAAAACACTCGAGTTAACCTAAACAGACAGAATTTTGAAAGAAGTAATTTATTTTATAGCGATAGCTACATTATGATAGCGATGACTAAAGGCGTAGTCGTATGCTACCGATCATAACAAACTGGTGTGGCATATGACTTCGGTGTCCTTTGGTTATCTCTATTATATTATAGCTGTCGCTATAAAATCAATTTCTTGTTCGAAGCTTTTTAGAGCGTGAATCAAATGTATTCGTGTTTTAGTTTTTGAACTTATTTTTTATTAATAAATTCAATGTGTTATTTAAGTCCTTTTATTTGATAATTTATACGCTAAACGGAATTATAGAATAATATATATATTTTTAGTTTCTTATTTTATGCTCTCTAGAAGGCGCTGTTGTAATACCAATTTAATGTAACGTCACATAGCCTATAGCACGCGGACAACTAAGACGTTTCTAATGATATCTCATTTATCCAGTTACGATGAGTTGTTTCGAAGGTATAAGAAAAAAACAGATGAACATTCTTACATAAATACATATATATCGGCCAAAATCATAACCTTCCTTTTTGGTTCACCGTAGTCTAGTAAAAAAGTAAAATGAAAACCTGTTTATGTGACATTTAAGATGGTTTAAGTACGGTTTGAGACTTGGTTAACTTTAAATTCTCATTTCCGAAACCGAGTGTATAACTATATACAATAGTGTGTAATTGTGTAAAAGTTCAAACTCACCACATGCGGCGGTTTGAGTATGTTAATAAACTCGGACGTCTGTTGGTAGTCTGTGTGCGCTGAGAACGAGATGTAATCTACAGACATCTTGAGCGGCAGCTTCTGACCAGACATGGACGTGATCTCCTCCGGCTCAGAGAGGATCGTCTTAGCGAGCGTACCCTCCACGCAGTAACCTGTGTTCACATATGACTTTGACATATACGCGTTTGTTAATAAGGTTGAATGTGATTTTTTTGTTAGCAGGTTAAATTTTACACTATTTCAAAGTACCAAAATGGATCCTAAAGGATATACGATTATGTTAATTGTGCATGTGGCAATAAAACACTGTACTATATTTATAATATGTGAAGTTACTAAATGACGCATGTAAAATAGAATATATTTTTCTACGTGTTCCGGTACCTGGTCTTTAAGACCGTAGACCATGAAATGGTAATTCACAGAATAAACCCGCCCCTATCATGCGCAGGACTTAATGACTCGTTGCTTTTCCTGATGTTATTATACTGACCGGCGATAATAACTCCATTCTTTGGATCGGTGCACCACGACTCGAACAGTTCACGAGACAAACCAGACTGCATCATGCCCGGTGACGCCATTATAACGCACGGCCCGATGTCCTCGAAATGATCAATGCCCTACACAAAAAAACTTAATCTTACAACTTTCATACTGAGAAGAATAATATGAAGTAGAAAATATGTTGATGACAAAGTTAAATGAGGTTGGTATACGATTGCGGAAGTTAAGCCAACTTTGCAATGGCCGATAATGGGATGTGCGACCATAACTTATTTATTTATTATAATATAATTTATAATATCTTCAATTCCTTCATATTAAGACACAATAAGTCGGAATCCCGGTTGCATCACCAATTTGCACCAAGCTCGCATGGTGGTATATAGTTAGTTCTAGTTATGTGACACCACTCTTAAGCAAGGCTTTCGTCGCTATTTACCTTAAAAAGTATGATGACAATTTTTAAATCGATGGCGTCTTAGTTCTATTTTTGGCCAACGGGTCAGAAAAGTTTATGGTTCTGTACTAACATTTATGTAATTCTAACGATTAAACAAACTATCTTCAATGTCAAGAAAAAACTATTTTCAATATTAATTCACATTATACACATTAAATGTATAAGATAAAAGTACTAGGCTAGCAGAAATTTGTAAGAAGTAGACATAATAAATAGATTTATAAAAATGCTGTATATTTAAGAAATAGGTATCATAAAATAACAAAAAATGGTTTATTATATTTGTTCAATTTGAAAAATAATCTTAATGGCCAGGGATCCAGTGGATTTTTTAAACATTTTTCATTAAGAAAAATCGGTTTATTTATATTACAGTACATATTTTTGTCGCGCGTTCCATTCGTTTTTACCTTAATACGATTAATTAAACTATTAAATTCTTTTAAAAACCTAAAAACAACGATATCACCGTATTAATTTGGCAAATAATCATCAACATCGGCACCACCAGAAGGGAAATCAATTCGACGGGAGCAGACGACAATAAAACAATATCAAAAATGCCTGATAATTCGACAGACATCTATGACATAGCAACACCGGCAATGTAGATAAGATAGAAATTATAATAAATAATCGTAACTTAACCTCATATATATATAGAGCTCAATTTTACACAACCGAGTTTCATTGACTCGGTATTAACCTTGTTCAAGGCTAAATCACTTGCGGCATAACAACAAAATCTTTAACACACTTTGTGTTTAAAGATTTTGTATTTATTTATATCGGGTACATTTTTAGTTTAAATAATAATATAATAGTAGTTGTGTTGTATTTAAAATTATATGACAAGAATTTTAGGCTCACTTTATATTATCTTGCTAACGTTAATTACTTAAGATTATAACTTCACAGCTGTGCATATCCTATTAACAAGATATTTAAAGATTAACAGTATCAATAAGATAGTGAACTTAAATCACTAATATTTATTTTTACTAATATTAATATAATGTGAAATCAATGTGGAGACAGTGAAGACTAGTTATCGAATAGGTTAGGTAATAAAAAAATAATTTTGTAAGGTTTGTAGAGTGCATATGTGTTAGTGAGATAAATCGGCTTTGCTCTACCCAGATGTTTCCGTGGACGTCTTGGGATCAGGAAGCACTGGTTAAGAACCACTGGTCTACAATATCTTTTTTATATTTTGCAGCCATGTTGCCTTCGTCAGTAAAACATCGCTTGGTGCAGTGGCTGGAGGATCACCGCGAGCTAGTGGTGTTGCTGTTTTGTCTACCGGCCAGTTTCCTGTTTACTGTGCTGCTTCAGATTAAAGCGTTCATACGCGCCGCGACCAGCGACCCGACACGACACGACGCCGCCGTCAGAACAATACAAGCGCAGGTATATTGGATACCTAACATTTATTCCTATTCCTCTGACGTGATGCCTGAGGCGGAACCTTTTCTTTCTTCATTTGAATAAAACGACGTCGAAAAACTATTGACGTGAGGATAAGAATAAGGATTCGGGCAACAAAAAATATATTATATGTGAATAAGCTTTCTTGTATGTTTTTTTATGATATCTGTTTCATCGATACCAATGGAATCTGATAAAATTACACTCGTAATTTCAGGTACAACAATGGAACAAGGTACCTGTCAACAAACGTCGATTACTCTGCACCTCGCGTCCAAACTGGCAATCACTGTCCACCACATTCTTCCAAAAACATCTACATCACCGCGTACCCATTCCGCTACACGACATACTCGAGCTGGACGAACGGAATATGACCGTCAGGGTGGAACCGATGGTCACCATCGGGCAGATCACAGAGTATCTCATACCTAGAGGTTATTCGCTAGCCGTCACGATTGAGTTGGTAGACGCCACTTTGGGAGGTAATTCTTATAAAATGTTAAAATGTTCATGTAATTTGATTGTTGATATAAAGGTACTTTAAGGAACTCACTAGCTCCACAGAGATCTTCCTGCACTCTACAATCTCTATTTTTGTCATTTAATTTACAAACATATACAAACAAAATAAAAACTGTCAAATCACATTAAACAAAAAGTGTAATGTAAAAATAAGCAAAATATCTTTTAGTAAAAAGGGGGGCTTTTAATATTTTTTTTTTCGTTTTGTAGTCTATTCTAGACAATTTTCTCTATCAGAAAAACGATATGTGATAATTGTTTAAAGATGATTTCCCTTAAACTACAAGAAGACTTTGTGTAGTGTTTTATAATTATCAAGATAATTATCACTTCGAACTCTGCTTGTAGCGTGTCTCAGCAATTTTTGGACAACCTTTGAGCAAATTGTCATCGCCAAAGAGTGTAATAAACCTTCATAGATTTTAGAGGAAACGAAAAACCATTCTACCATAAAAAATGCTCGAAATTCTATTTAATTCCATATATTATATACACTAAGATATATTCCATATACTAAGAATTCTAGTACAATATACGCTTGAATATGCATGATATGACCTTGTTTCTTGCCATCAAAGAAATCACATCCATCCAATATCATCCCAGATTAAAGATTAAATCATCCCAGATACTTATATCCATGCTATTGAGTCTTAAAGTATCTAAACATTTGTTATGTTTCTTTCAGGTCTGGCCTTCGGCACGGGTATGTCAACACACTCGCACAAAGCAGGCTTGTACCACGAAACTATCACCAGCTACGACGTGGTGTTAGGGGACGGCTCCTTGGTAACAGCCACCGCTGACAACGAGTATTCAGATTTATATAAATCACTACCCTGGTCTCACGGCAGCCTAGGCTTTCTAGTATCTCTCACACTTAGAATAGTCAAGATAAAGCCTTACATTAAGATTAAATATATTCCCGTACGGGGCCAAAAAAACTACTGCGACATGATCAGACAATTATCCGGGGCAAACGAACCAACACCTAAAAACCATCCTGATTATATAGAAGGCACTGTTTATAGTAAAGACGAAGCAGTCATCATGGTCGGAGAATACTCAGACTTAGAAAGAGGCATCACTGTCAACCATTGCTCCAGATGGTACAAGCCATGGTTCTACAAGCACGTTGAGACATTTTTGAAGAAAGGGGAAGGTGTTGAACTCATCCCCCTCAGAGACTATCTGTTAAGACATAACCGCGCAATATTTTGGGTCGTAGAAGATATGCTGTCGTTTGGAAACGATCCGCTGTTCAGATTATTCTTCGGCTGGCTCTTGCCACCTAAACCGGCATTTCTGAAATTCACTACCACGCCGGGAGTGAGAGCGTACACGTTCACAAAACAAGTGTTTCAAGATATCGTATTGCCTATACAGGAATTAGAAAAGCAAATAGAGATAGCCAGCGTGCTATTCGAGAAGTTTCCGTTGTTGATTTACCCATGTAAGATCATAGATCACGGTCCTTCGTCGGGGCAATTGAAACGGCCAAACTCTAAATATTTAATCCCAGGCACTAATTACGCGATGTACAACGATTTGGGTGTTTACGGGGTGCCCGGGAAAGTGAAAGAGAAAAAACCCTACAATCCAGTAGATGCCATGAGAAAGATGGAAAAATTCACTAGAGACGTGGGGGGTTATTCATTTCTATACGCCGATATATTTATGACGAAGGAAGAATTCGAAGAAATGTTTGATTTGTCGTTGTACGAAGTCGTGAGAAAAAAGTATAAAGCAGATGGCGCGTTCCCACACTTGTATGATAAAGTGAAGCCTGAAATAGACGTGTTTGCAATAGGAGAGGAAAATGCTATTCATAGTAATTAAAGTAATATAAGTAGAAGTCATTTATATTTTAATACATGAATTTATAATAAAATTTGTGTTTAATGAAATGCATCCTATTTTAAAATAGAAGATGACGATGATTAATCAAATATAGCCAATGACCTCAGTTGGCAACACCTAGAAACTAGCTAGCATGCAGCTCTGTTATGGAGCTCAGTAAATATTAAATAAAACCTCTCTTAGAATAGTGACTATGTATATCATACAATCTTAGCCTTCTCTTTAACTGTGCACTCTCTTTGCAACTCAGTAATCAGGTAAATGTATTTTATTAAATTCTACTACAAATACTACCACTATTTGTTACATTTAATAAATTAATTAATGGAAAGCGTTAATGGCATTAAAATTTAAATTTCATTTAAACAAAAAAATTGAATAGAGTTACCTTCAAGTTGGATATGTGCCGGAAAACGAAAGGGTTATTGATGGCGATCTGCCTGCGGATGCGGTCGTTCATGGCGTTGACGTATGTCTGGTAGACCGCCATGCACTTCTTGGCAAGCGACGACGCGTAGTATATGGGGATGTCTTGCAGCTCCGGGTGTAGCGACCAGTACTCATCTGCGGGAGCGATACTACTCACACTCTCTGGTACACTGGGACACGAGGAGCAACGATACTGATACTAGACAAGCCCTGACCTGGGTACTATCGGGGCAGGCTCAAGAATACTAGTTAAATTACGAACTAAAATATACCATTACAACGGACTATTATTAATAACTAAATGTTCCGGGAGACCTTGTTCTGCCATATTTCTATAAAACAAAGTAACCAGAAGTTAATCCACGCGTCTTTGTTTTGCTTTAATTGACGTCATATGTTTGACAGCCAGGCCAGGTGGTTTGTATAGATAAAGAAAATGGTTGATTTTACTATTGTCTTAGTATTTTTGCTCTCAGTAAGAACCTTCTTCAGACTTCATCAAACACAACAAAATATAAATCAGCCAAATTGGTTCAGCCGTTCTCGAGTTTTGCGCTCTGCGACACATTTACAATGAATTATTATTAATGTAGATATGAAAGAGTTGACACAAGTGGCAAAATATGTCAACACGTCTCAATTTGCCACTTCTCTTATGTCATTGTGAATTTGATTTGGGCAGCCAGTGGTCGAAACCAAGTACTAACTTTAGTCTTAGTTTTATAATAAAACGGGTCAAGTTTACAAAAAATATTTAAATAAAAAAAAACAAGATATTTTATAAAAAAAATGCAATAAGCAAGAGCTAGTGTTAGAGTTTAAGAGAATATGAGTGTGAGTAGTGACCGAGTATGAGCAGCAGCTCCTGCGCGCGTCCGAGCGCGAACACGGGTATGAGGCAACGGCCGCCGCGTGACACTATCTCGCTCACTAGCCCTGTGAACCTGCTCTCGCGTTCCTCACGCTTCTCATGGATGTGAGTACCGTATGTAGACTCCTGCACAGACACACAGACACCAAGCGTTACCCTCTCCGCGTGCGCATAAATCCCCAACGCTTTGACACAAGGATCCCAAAACTAATTTTGACAAGAGACTCCTTTTCTCAAATAAACTAATACCACAATAATAACGAAGTTACCTATCGGTGTTAATAAAATAATAAGATTAAATAAAGGTCCATAGTTCACTTAAATCAATACCATTATCAAAAATCATTTACTTTTTACATTACAGACTTCTCAAATTGGGCAAATATATATTTTATTTTAAGTCTCACAATGAGTATTGAAACGCAAATAAAGTTTCTGGGAATAGTCAATAACAGTCTGTTATGATCATGTGATGGGAATAATAAAAAAATAACATTACTCACTGTTATTAGAACATCAGGATGTACTGTTGGAATTTCAGCAGCCATCAAATGACGATCCTCTTGCCTCGAGAAATCCCCCGTGTACAGTATCTACGAACATAAAGAACGACTTTGACCACATGCATGACAGAATGAAAAATTGATCAAATATAATAATTGAAACTATGTTTAAATTTTAATTAGTTACTTCAAAAGACTTGTAACTAAGAACTATAATTTTATTATTGTAATTTTTATTGGCTATATAAACAATACAGCGTTAAAAATCTTTTTATTTGCATATGCTTATAATTTTTTATTAATATCAATTTATCATCTGTTGCTGAACTTGGTTTCATATTTCATTTAATTCAATATAGATTAAATATAAGTAGGCCCTTGTCCTCAGAAAATATGTAGAAAATTTTAAGCCACACAAATAGATCTAACAATCAGAATAAACTTGTACTAGTTATTAGTATGTAATTTAAATAATAGAGTGTAGGTACATTTAATATTGTTACGACTTACGGTTCGGGATACTAATTAACGCTAATTATAGTTCAAAATCCGACTTTATTTACCACAATAAAATTACAAAAATAATTCAACTACAACATTCACACTTCAACTTCACTAATAACACTTCACCACACTATTAGTAGGACTGAGACGTGTTTACTGGAATAAGTCTTTGGAACAAGATTTTGCTTGGACGGGAGTATCGAATCGGCGTCCAACGCGTATCGAGTATTTAGAAGTTGACTTACTGAGTAAGCCTAAACGACTCATTTGAACTAGAAACTAAGAGCTAGAAGCTAGATTATTTACTTTATTTACTATTAACACGTGATGGCGTCAGACGCTTACCTAATTACTGTGCAAAAAAAAAAGCAATTTTATCACCTAACGGTAAGGTTGACCCTAGGAATAGGAATTGATTCACTCACACTAAGATCGAACGCGTCCGCGTCTTCGCGTCTTCGCGTCTCGGCGTCTCCGAGTTTGTGTGAGTACGAGACTTCTAAGTACCCGAAACGCGTTAGACGCCTGAGTCTGCGTCCGCGTCTCCGAGTCTCGAGATTTATATGAGTAACGAGTAAGTCGATACTTTTAAATACTCGATACGCGTTGTTTGTTTATTCGATACTTAGTATTTAGACGTTCAAGCAAAAACTTATTCCAAAGACTTATTCCAGTAAATACGTCTCAGTCCTTCAGTATATGTTCTCCATTACTCTACTATATTTTCAATTACATGTGTAAACACTTACATTCACTCTGATTATACAATATGCTGTAATACTAAACATATCTTAATAACCAAAAATATTTTTTTAATGGTTATTTTAAAAATAAAATAGTTTCGTACCTTCACACCAGCAATTTCAATCATGAACATGGCTGCTCCAAGCACATGACCCGCATTATAAGCCCAGAAGCGTACCCCTCTAACATCCTTCTCTTCATGAAAATTTATTGTTTCAATACGATCCATAGAGCCTTCTAAATCAGACTCTGTGTACAACATTTGCTCTGTTGAAATATTACTAAAACAAGAACAGAATAGAACTATATAACAAAAGTGCATCAAATATTTATCTGTCACTATGTTTTTATTTCAAACAGAAATATATGTACTCCATGTTTTACTATGTTTATATATTTTACCTTTTAATATAAATAAATTATAATATTTTGGAAGCAGTAGCTCGGTGACGTAGTGGATAAGAGCCGCGGCCGCGATCATTGTTGTTAAGCAACTTTCGCAAGGGTCGGTCATTTGATGGGTGATCAAAAAATTATTATCTCGAACTACTCCGTGCTTCGGAAGGCACGTTAAGCCGTTAGTCCCGGCTGCATATGCAGTCGTTAATTCCCTCCAATCCATTTGCCTTGAGCCATGGCCCATTCTCCTTAACCATCCATAAGGAAGGCCTGGGCCCCTGCAGTGGGGACATAAAAGGGCTGATTATGAATACTTTAGCTTTCTTCTATTACTACCTTTTATTATAGTAAAGAGTAAAGGTAGCATTACTCTTTCTTTCCAAATAATCAATGTAATGCAATGAAAATGCAAAAGCATTAAAACTAATAATTATAAAATATAATTACAAAAACATTACAATAACTTACCTAACTTTAATGTAATCTGAAACTAGCCACCTGTAGATAGCTTTTGTAGCATGTGTCATAAACACACGACCCTTAAACGACGTCTTAGTGAGGAACCAGGGCAAAGCACCACTGTGATCTAAGTGGAAACTGAAACAAAACATATTACTATGTTGGTGCATATTGTTGATCAAGTGACAATAGCTCCTTATGCATACTCATAACTCTTAATCAACGTTTTATTGAAATAATATTCTTAATACAGTATAAAATTTATGAGAAAAATCTTATAAATATATCGACACCTGCAAGGAAAAACATTGTAACTCAGTTTTAGGCGCTTTACAGAAAAGCATGATAAAGATTTTAAAAAATCCTACCAATTTCCGTTAAGTCCCTATGCCACCCTATCTTGAAAATCAAAGTAATTGTTGTAAGAGCGATACTATTATACCATTTCAATTGTATAAATTTAAGGGTATATTGATTTATTTCATGTTGATTTATTTCGTGCTGGATTACAATCGTCTTTTATAGATACTTCATAAAATAACATTGTATCACAGACACAACCATAATAATGTTGTATCCAATTATTGCATTCATGGAATAAAATTCAATTCAGAAACTGGTTTTTGATTTAACATTTTGTGTTTGTAATTTTCTGAGATGAACTTACAACTTATATAAGTATTTCATCTCAACTTTGAGTAAAACGTACCTTTCAAATTTTAATTACAAGAAATTTTTACATACTGTGATATCAAAAGCAAATCTACTTCATCTGCTTCTATCAAGTCCACAAATGGCAGAGCATCCATCCCAGATAATCCTGGATGAATTCCACAATCCAGCTGAAAACAAATAAAACATCAGCAGACATAATAATGAAAGAGTAATAGTAATGAAATAATCTTTATTCAATTATTAGAAAATTATAACAATATTACCATAATCTTTTTTCCTTTGAATTCTAGCATGATACATGATCTACCTACTTCCTGTCCAGCACCTCTGAAATGAAAGGTTAAACAAAACCGTATATTTATGACAAGCCAGGGTTTCATAGAACTTGTCCTAAAAATAGCTAAACTAAACTGACATTCTATTCAATGTACACATGGCCCCACATCATGCTACATACCACCACCATAAACGGATGTCAGTTAGTATGGAATTTCCATACGAAACACGGTTGGTAAAACTGCACATGTGCAGCCGTGTGTATTATAAATAATTTAGTATTTTTTATATTATAGATTTCCTTATATTTCCTATAGATTCGCTTATAATTTTATAGTATTTTTTACAAAACTAACAATATTAAGAAATAATGCAGAAATAACTTCAAATTTAATTAATAAACAAAATAATATTTACACCTAGTTCAAACAAAGTTGCGTCGTGTTGTCTGTATGCTTAAGCTACGCAAGGGATTTTAATGCAGTTTTCATCAATATACAGAGTGATTAAGGAGGAATAATACAAGACCAAGCGAGCGAAGGCGCTGGCGGAAAGCTAAAATTTTTATTTATTTTTTAAGAAAATTAAAATGAACGGTACAATCGTTACTATCATAAGGAATATTTTCAAGATAAAGAATGTAAATTAAAAAATTAAAACTTACAAAGGTCTAATAGTAAGCTGGTCGCTCTCTTCCATTGGCACAGGTTCCGTGCCCCTACGAGGGTTTGTTGTCATAGTGATTATTTCTATCACACGAGTTTTATATAAATTTATAATTTGTAAATTATCTTTTTGAAATCAAATTGACTAAATCAAAATCAACGAAGGCCGGTCGAATCACTTCACAACAAACAACAATTTATAGGTTATTAGGGAAGTGCTAGATCAAAATAAAGGTGGTCAAATTAGCGCTTAGCGTGTGAATTTAACACGCTAACGTACTTAATGCTTAACGCTGTTAAGTACAAGTTAAGACGTTAATAATTTTCATTAGCACCAGATGCCAAACGAGCAGTATTCGTTTGGGCACGAACTATTTTTGTTTTTTTGTATTATTTAATATGTCCAGTTGTAAGCATACCTTAATAATTATAAATAAATAAATGATTAATTATGATAAGTACGTGTTTATAATAAAGATGATAATGCTTATAAATAGAATGACAAATTTTGGTGAAGGGATATAAAATTGTATTAAGTTTATATGACAAATATACATAGTTCGGTTACTTTTATTTCACATATATTTTAATAAAATATTAATAAATTATTATTTATTATAGCACGTGCTTAGTTCAAAGATCGATGTGTAATAAATAATGTGCTACGAGATTTAATGTTCTGCTTGCTTTAATGCGTATGTCGCCAATTTTACTTAGCATTTAGTCTCAGCGTGTTAATGTATTTTAGTCGTTTTGAACAACTCTACATATAACTAATCTGTGCTTACTAGGGATGTCGGAAATGCGATATAGAGTACCGATACGTATCGATATTGATAGTATTGAAAATATCAATATTGGTTTATCAGAGCGATATGAAAAAAGGTCTAATCTACGTCAGTCATCTTGACTTTGACCTTGCTTTTTTATTTTTAAGTTGGAGAAACGCATGATGATGCTTATTCTTCATATGTGCAGCTAAATTCATCGTATTGCCACTAGTTTTATAACTTTTCCACACAGATTACGTGAAACGTTTTTTTTTTCATTCATTTTGTACTCAAATTAATTACTGATTGAATTAGTAAGATTGTAACAAAAAAAATATGCGCGTTCAGTTTGGTTACGTATAACCAAAGAGAACAAATAAAAACAAAAGAAAATATCGGTTTTGACACAATTTCGCTTAAAGACATTGATTTATCGAATGAGGAATGATAAAATAGTTGAGTATCAAACATTTTGATTTTTGTTTAACAGAATATTGATAATTTAATTTTAAAGCACTTTGAGGGGAGATTTTAAGCACTTGGATGTCAGTCTTAATGATTTGAGGTTATTTTCTTATTCAATTTAATTTATAATATTTTTAGCTTGTTTTGTGTCGTATTTAATAAAATTCACATAGGTTATGGCGATGAGAAATTTTACCTTGACGAAGAAATAAACAAAATGCTTCTAACTTACCTGAAATATGGTACACCTGCAATATTTCTCTCGGATCTATTTTTGCAAGATATAACACTGCACTTAACCATTATTTTAATTTGCAAGTAACTTTTCTTTATTATAAACTCTATACAGCATATAAAATATTGTTTAAATACACTTCTTTCCAACTTTTTTCTATATTATTTGAGTCCGATAATTTCTATGCCTAAATTTTTGACGTTTTGGTGCCAAACAAAAAAACCGGCCACACCGATAAGGACAACAAATAATGTTTTTATCTCACTTAAACTAATGAAAATTGTAATAAGTCATTTCATTTCCCGATGAATGAGATAGAACATACCATTAGTCTATTGCTTTCTCTGTCTACGCTTAGATCCTACAATTTGTACTGCCATCTAGTGACATATTTTTTGTAGTTTCTTTTTTTTTTAAATACTTCCTATATGAAAATATCGATATTTATTTGACAGGCCTAGTGTTATTCAATGCTACTGTGCTTAGCTTACGGTACCTAGAGTATATTGTTTGTCATCCACGGTCATAGAGTAAGGTAGAGTGGAAATATTTTCTATGGTTATATAAATATCATGCAATCTGAAGTTGACATCAAAAACATCATGTTGTCTTTTTTTAACTAATAAGAAGTTTCTTTATTAAACAAAGATAACACTAGTGTGACAGTTCAAAATTTTTTACGTGACGTCATGAGATATAGCTATCGTACCACCTGTCAGCCATTTGCAAATTTGCTTTGCGTATTCTCGGAAGTAGTTCAGCTGTCAGTGTAATAAGTTTTGTGGTTGTTTTCATTTATAACTTTAATTTATATAACTTTCATGGCAGAAAATTGTAAATTATTTATGCAAAACAATGTCTAGGTGCTGTATAATTGGTTGTGCGTCATCAATATCCCGCAAACCGAGCAATATTACGTTTCACCGGTAAGTTAAACACTTTCTTGGAATAACAGTATTTAAAACGTAAGTAAGTTATTCTGAAAATGATTGCGTGTATAAATCGATACATATCGTATTTTGGCGTGTTCTATTTATGCTATATTGCTCTTTTCGTTTATATTTTTATAATATTTCGGTCCGTAAATAATATTGTTTACATGGCTAGTGTCGTTACTTTAACATATGGTTTATATCGTTAATTTTAATATTTAAAAATATATTAATTATTTTAGATTACCAAAAGATGAAACAAAAGAGGAAAATGGCCGAGTTACATAGAAGCAGAAAATATTAAATCTAATGAAAAAGTTACTTTTATCTGCTCACTTCATTTTAGGGAAAGTTGTTTGAATCGAACTTTAAATATAATAAAATTACGAGATGATGCATTGCCAATCAAATACTCTGGTAAGAATTTTTGACAATTGCTTTTAACTTATTTAAAAAAAAAATGTCTATTACACTTAGTTAATTTTCATTTGATTTTACTGATTTATTTATTTAGTTTTTTATATAGTCATTTTGTTATTCTATAAATGTACCTTATTTTTAGTCTTGCGGTCATATGACGACTATTTTAATTGAAAAAAATCAGAATGCAATATATAATAATATTAAAATATAAAATTCTGATCATAATATACTCCCAGTAAAATATACAATAAAATGAGTTAAATAATTTTAATAAAAATTAAAATATGCACACTTATCAAATTAAAGGCATAGTTAAAGGTTTTCTTTGCTGTTCAATAGTATAATTTTAATACCCAAATAATTATTTTGCGGCGTGGATGTTTATTTTGCTGATGCATCATAAAATACGCTACCTTTTTTAATTTAAATTGCTGACCGTTATCATGATTGTTCACAGAACATGAATTGCAGACTGTTTTAGTGCTGAGAAAATATTTGTATGCTTGCCTATTGATTAATCGGCTGTTTTCTTCTTGCTAACCAAATTTTAAAATAAAATGCCAATTGTTATTTCTTTAATAATGTTACTGTTATGCCAATTGTTACTTACTCATCACCAACTTTGTTTTCTTTATTTTCTCTTGTTTATTCATCAAAGTTTAAAGTATTTTTATGTTCTTTTACCAATAATATAATACAAAGATTATGTAGGTGTTTCAAGTTTTCTATGTTTACTAATAAACAAGATGTTCTGAACTAAAATTGTGACACAGTACGCACGGTATCTCACTTAATGAGGAGGAAACGAAATTTATTCAGTCAAAACAATTTATTGAATAAATTTATAGACAAGTTGGCTTACTAGTTACAAGCATATAAGAAAGTCGAAACTCTGTGCTTATAGTTCAGCAATCTATTACGGGAAACCTTGTACCGAGAAAAGAAAAAACTGTAAGAAAGGAACCGATAAGAAACTGCAAGGGCTGCTTTTGCACCCTGTTTAATTTCGTACTGAAAAATAAAAAATGACTTCATTGGACCAAAATGTCACTTTCCACCAAAACAATAAAAAATATATAACAGACAAAAAAAGCATAATAATTCATTTGTCAATCGACTCATTAAAAGCTTATTATAGTTTCCGTGGTAGTTATCTTAGACAGTAGTCACACTTCCCGTGGATGCAAAATTAAACTTATGTTAAAAAAACTATTTAATTATAATTGCAAAATGTCAACTTGACAATATATATGGAAATAATTATAAAACACGATTGATATTATTGTAAAACTTTTAAGATATATATTTTGGTACTATAGTTCTTAAAACTATGTAAAATTGGCTATATTAGAGGAAAAAAAAACATATTTATCGAGGTACAATCATATTATAAAATTATATTATTAAATAATATAAATGTGAAAGTTTGTGAGGATGGATGTTGGTTACTCTCATGTAAAAACTACTGAACGGATTTTGATGAAATTTGGAATATGAATAATCTTTTACCCGTGGGAAGCGCCATCATACGCTGGTAACATATGTTATATTTACTATAGTGACGCAACGGAGTCGCAAGAACAAAGAACGCAAGAAATTTTAGATGTCCAACAAAATATGAGCAAAATAATTGATAAATTCACACCACTTTTAAAAAAATATTATTTTCTTGATACTGGCGTGAATTTTTCAATTTAATTAATAATAATCATAAATAGGATTGGTACGTAAGTGTGAAAAATAACAATGAAAATTATATTATATTATTTAATAAGTAGTAGTATTGTAGCAGTTTCAAGAAAATACTAACTTTTATTTAATATGACTTCAATGTCGATACAAATATCGATATCTTGGGTCACGCCCTATGACAATCCGCCATCGAAGAATTTGCATTTGAAGTTTAGGCATATACGCTTTTTTCGTAGGTATGGCCGGTCCTCTTCTTTTATGTCTATGTCCACGGTCATCATACCTACTTGGTCTGTGCGGTCACTTGCAGTCACTTGTGCAATTTTCTTCTTGGTCTGTGCACTCTGTGGTATTATGCAAAGACTACAGTGTGTATAAGTCATAGGTATAAGTATTATGCGTATTGTGTTGTGTAGTGTGGTATGTTTAACATTTAATAAGTTTAATTTATTCACAGGCTCATTCGGATAATTTTAAAATGTCTAATAAAAAGAAACTGTTTGATGATGAGTCAGATGAAGAGGTAACAATAAAAACTGAAAATGAATATGCGAAAAAATACGACACATGGCGTGAAAAAGAAGAAATACACAAACGTACGTTTAATTAGATTATGAATTCGCGGATTTTAACATTATTTATTTATTAAATGGACTATGTATAAATTTTAGTGGAACAGAAGTATGGTACTGATGCACTGAACTCCGACGGTTCTTCTGACAGTGAAGATGAGAGCGACGATTCACTGGAAGTCAACGAGGAAACTGAAACGCAATTTTTAAAAACTCTTGCGTTACTGAAAACTAAGGACCCTAGGATCTATGACCCTAATTTCAAGTGTTTTGAAGAAGACAAGGACACGAAATCTGGTTAGATACTTTTGGGATAAGCAATGTATAAATTATATCTTTTAGATTGACCAGAATTTGTGTAAAAAAATTGGTTTGTTAATAATAGGCCTTATATCTTACTCAATTTCCAGTAGCAGAAAAAGAATCCAAACCTCAAACATTGACTTTTGAGGACAGTGATGAAGATGATGAGCAAGATGGTGACATCTTCAAAATAGAAAAGAAAGCTGAAATAGGTGATGATACAGAAGAAAAAGATGGAATAGAGAGGAGCGAGAAAAATAAAAAGGTGAATTAAGCTCTCTATGATTAATTATCTAGTAAATAACTAATTTCCACATGCATAAAAGGAAGGTAGGTTTTAGAAAATGCATAGTAGATCTATTGAATAGGTTTAAGTATTAGTAATTTATAGTTTATTAAGTTGTATACCCATGTTTATATCTGATCAAATTTGATTATTCAACATCAAAATATTCTTATAAATCATTTTATAGAAAGCACTCTTGCACCATGCAATATATAATATTTTTACACAACGGTCAAAAAGAAGAGTGTGTTGTGTTTAAGATAAATTTTTATTATTATTATTAGCCAATAATGTCACTAGTGTTGAGGCAAAGACCGTTCCTATAAAAAGAAATATAAAAATAGAACAGCTTATGGCTACTACATATTTAGACCCTACAAGGATTGGTGGTAATAATAACTACTAGATAGCTGAGGCTAGATCTAGATGAGGCAGAAGAGCTTGGTGGAGCAGCAGCTAACACACTCGGTCAGCCATATGGTTGTTGAGCAACTTTCAAATTGGCTGATCACAGGATGGGTGATAAAAATTGCCATTAAAGTTAAGAAGAAGATGATAATTTAATATCTCGAACTCCTCTGTGCTTCATAAGGCATGTTAAGCATTGATCCCGGCTGCATCTGCAGTTTTTAACACTCACCGATCAGCACTGGGTGGTGGGTTATGGCCTATTCTCCCTATTGGATTTAATTCCATTCATAGGGAAGGCCTGAACCCCAGCAGTGGGGACATTAATTTTGTATGGGGATTCATACCAACTGGCATCAATTCAAATTTACTCTCTACAAGTTAAGTTATTATTAAACTTTAAACTACCATCAAAAGTTTATCATAATTTGACTGCATTTTTGATATATTCGATAAAATTTATAAAGTATGCCGTACTTCCTATTTATATTTAATTACTGTCATTATTATGCCATTTATTATTGATATAGAAATGCGTTTGAGACTGCACTTAAAAGGTGAATTTGCACAAAATAAGATTACACATATACTATTTAAATTATGCGCTTTGGCTATATATGTAATCAAGCTTCGGCAATCCTAATGCATCGGACGACATCGTCCGAGTCGCGGGCGGCCGCTGGATGCAGCTGGCGCAATATCGTCCGTCGTGGCGTTCAAAGGGGGAGGCCTATGTTCAGCAGTGGACGTCTTCCGGCTGATGATGATGATGTGTTTCTTGCCATCAGCTGATACCAAAATGAAAACCCCAGATTAAAGAAAATCAAATTAAGACAAATCAGTTGTACTAACTAAATAAGTTTCTGACACCAGTAAGCAGAACAGTTTTTTAATAAAACAAAACACATCAATTAATTAAATTTATCAATTAATCACAATTTGATATGACTTCTATACCCGACATTTCAGACTCAAAATTATTACTGTCGCTGCTGGAACCAATGTTTTAGTACCTATATTCAAATAAGGTAATTTGGCGTATTACAGCTCTATACAATTCTTAATACTGAAATATTGCTGTCACTTCCATCACAGTCGAGGTACTGACGAGTTTTGGCGGCTAAAACGACAATCACACATTGGTTACTTAAATTCATAAGCACGAAATATACCGAGGCGCATAATTTAAATAGTATATGTGTACTATATTTACATGATAACATGTAATTGATGTTATCTATTTATTTTTAACAAATAATCTGGCACCATAAATGCAGATCGAAGTTTTCCAAGAGTTCATCAACATACATAAACTTCCGAAGACTAAAGTATATATATGTGTACGTATATTAAAGGGAATAAACTTCTTCTTCTTCTTCTTTTTTAATTCATGGCCTATTTGCATTTACACAATTCCGCCAAACGAAAAGTAAAGTATGGGAATAGATGTTGACAGAAAGACATTTGACGGTTCCATATTTTAGTGTTCATTATGCTGTTTTGAGTTACTAATAAATATGCAATTTATTTTTTCTCAATGAGATAAAATAAAACCATTTATAATAATATATTTATACTATAACTATGCACTTGTGAACTTAGAGGGTAACTAAAGGAATATATTTAGATCATTGTTAGTTTATGAAATCTAGGTCAATTGGATATGGAACATTATTTTTCGTATATGCATTTGCAAACTAGTGTTAAATACATATGAATAAAACATCATTTTTTGGTATTCATGTCCCTGTGATGGTATGGATAAAGGAAATCTTCTTTTTGGTCATACATTAATAACTAGAAGTTGTTTGACTTTCACAATAACTTAATAATGGTTCTTCTCTTTCTCCTGCTGTTGATTTATGAAGTGATGGTATAGAGTTTTGTCGCCCACAAACACTTGTCTAAACTGCCTACACAAGTAACACTGAGCATTTTTTTATTGAATTAATTATTTTAAAAGTAGAACTATGTTTACAGGAGGGAAAGATAAAGGAATATTTGACAGGGCAAGTGGAACACATAGAGCATGAGGTAGAGAGAGACCTGGCACCACTGAAAGCTCTCTGGTCTGATCCCAAGCTTAATGATGGGGAGGCCTTTCTAAGAGATTACATATTAAACAAAAGGTAACTAAGAATCTAAACAAATCAAAATATTTTTTTTTTTCAAATACAAATCTAAAATATTTTTCTCAACATTTTTAAAATTAAAGTCTTTGTTTAAATTTATTTATAAACTTAAAATTTATAATTTTATAATAAAAACACAGCTGAAGGCCAAAGAAGCAAGGAACTGTAAAATGTTTGAAAAAAAAAATAGTAATCTCTCAGAATACCTTTAAAAATAATTAAAATTAAATATATATTACTTCTGACTGTGTATTAGATATTAAATGATCAAAAACTAATATCATGGAAATTAGATAACCCAAAATACAAAAATATTAAAGCTGGTTGTTGTTTATGCTATTTACATAAACGCAGTTTAGATTGAAATTTGAGCAAGTTTTTTGCAGCTGATTGATAATGATGTTTATTTAATAGTATTATATTTGATAAATATATTATGTCCTTAGATACTTAGATGAAGGTGACATAGGAGAGGCAGCTGAGAAAGTGCGGGATGACTTGGAACTTGAAGCGGATGAACAAACTGTAGAGGAACAGGCTAAGTTTGAGCGTGCCTACAACTTCCGCTTCGAGGAGCCTGACGATCAATATGTAAGCTTAAATTATATATACACACCAGATTCATTATGGAGTTAAAAGAGGGTTCTGACCACCACAAAGAACATTAATAATAGTCTATTCACCTTTTACGACAATCGCACTAAAATCCATGAAATGTAACTAACACATACATTATGTTCTTACTTTATACATACTAATATTAATAATACCTATATCAGAATAATGAGATTGGAAATTGATTTAAAGATAAACTTACCTAATTTTAATATATTATTTCAAGATGTCGCCATCTCTCAATATAGAAAATGAACTAAATTTTCTCGGGTTTGACTTCCTTTGTTTCGGATTACCATAATACAAGTGCTTTAGCTATTCAATTTGTGATCTGAGTAATTTGTATGTTATGTTGTCTAATGTAATTTAAAATATTTTTATTACTTTTATCATTTAAATTAATATTATCCTTTAAATATCAGTTGAAACGTTTCCCGCGCACCATGAACTATATCCGTCCAAAAGACGACCGTCGGTCTCGCAAGCGCGCCGAGGTGCGCGCGCGGAAGGAAGAAGAGAAGAAGAGGAAGATGGAAGAAATCGCGCGGCTCAAGGCGCTCAAGCTGAAAGAAATACAGGACAAGATCAGCAAGATTAAGGAGGTCACCGGCAACCAGGACCTCGCCTTCCGCGTTAGTTTAAGTTTGTTTATCTGATTAAAATTATCATTAATGCATCTTTTCTATAGATGTGATGTCTCGTTTTGGCGAATGGCTACCTATGGCTATATGCATAAGAAAAATAAAGCCTATATAGTGCAACCTAACTGTGTCCCTTGTAAATTTTACCTGTGTGAAATCATATTATCATATATTGTAATAGGAGGAGGACATAGAGGGAGAGTTCGACCCCATGGAGCACGATCGTCGCATGCAGGCATTGTTCGACGAACAATTTTATGGGGAAGTTGACCTCATTAAGCCCACCTTCCCTGACCTCGATGACGATCTGGAGATAGGTAAGTGATTGGAATTTTGTCGGTTTTGTTACCGAAATTAAAATGACTGAAGTCACTGAACTCTTTTGTTGTCGAATAAATAATAATAATGACTGTAAAAAGTAAACTGACTGAACAATGAAAATAAGTATGTTAAAAATTGATATTTTTTTTTATGAATCTACTGTCTACAACTCTGCAGTATCAATAAAGTCATTGGAAAATATTGTAAATCTTTATCTACTTATTTATTACAGAAAATTGGGATAATTATGATCCAAATAATGAAAATAATAAATATGAAGATGGACCGCATTGCGAAGACGACGATTTTAACGTGAGTTCCAGTCCTATGCATAAAAACACCTCTTTTTAAATATCTGTATAAAATATACTAATTTTTAAAATACAGATGGATGCAGACTATGACTCGAACAAGTCCAAAAATAATCTACAGGAAGCAATCGAAAAGACTTTAGGAAAGAAACGAAGAAATAGGAAACGTCAATCAAAACTGTCCCAGCTTTTGGCGACAGAGAAACCAAAGTATTTACCGTTAGCTGCAGACCGCTCTTACGCTCAACACATGGAGGAATATTACAAGATGGATTGTGAAGACATCGTGGCCGGAATGCCCACCAGGTTTAAATATAGGGAGGTGGTGCCTAATGATTATGGACTCACCATTGAGGAGGTAACTTATTCATTATGCTTTAGAGCCTTTGAAGAGGGCTTTATATTTATAATATAACACCAATATGAGAGAAATGTAACTGAGCAAATGGAAATTCAATTTAATTTTAAAATTTTATAAGGAACTTGAACCCGTGAACCACTACAGGAGCTCTTGAGAACATTATAATATTTATTTAAAAGTTCTTTAAACTGTAATTGCCCAAGACTAAAATTTTTAGTTCGGTATTCTGCAAATAGATCACATGAGTATTTTATTAAAGTTAATTTAACTGTTTATAAAAATAGATAACATTAATATTTTATTAAAATTAATTTATAAGTATAGTATTAATACTAATAAATAACAAACCAGTCAATCTTAAGTGATAATATGTTAATCAACGAGCAGAATTTTAATTGATAAAGTTAGAAAATCGACGTAAGCGAGTGTTATACATTATTACCTAAACGTTTCCTGATACAGATTCTTTTAGCGGACGACAACGAGTTAACTCAGTGGGTGCCTCTCAAGAAGATAGTCAAGTACAGACCTGAGGCTGCCGAGAAAGGAGATGTTAAAGTATACAAACAACGAGCCAATGATATACGACTCAAAAGAAACCTACTACCCTCCCTCTACAGGGATCTGCCCAGGTACCCCACAATCATGTTTATAAATCACAACAATGTGCAGACAACAGTGCGTCAGATTATACAAAATAAATTCAATAGAAATTTGATATATTTTGGTAACTGGTTGTTCTGCTGTTAACCATAAACAATTAATAATTATTGAATATTTCTTCACTTTATAGTGAGCCTGAAACAGCGGTGGAAGGGACAAAGAAAAAGAAGAAAAAACAAAAACTTGTAAATGATAGAAATGAAAATATAGATTCTGAATGTGAACACATATCTGAAAATAATGTAAATAACAATGAAGTAAGTAATAATGCAACAAATGAGCAAAATATAGAGAAAGCAAATGGTAAGAAATCTAAAAAGAAACGTAAGCAATTAGAACATCAGGAAAATAATGATGTGTCTATTGATGATTCAAAAAATGAAGAAGATGAACATTTAATTAACAAAACGAAAAAGAAACGAAATATTAAAAAAGAAGACAGCATAGATGTACCCAAATATTTAATAACAAATGAGGTTCATTTAGATGAGACATGTAATAAAAATAAGAAATCTGAGCTTAAAAACAAAGCAAATTATTGTTCATCATATGAAAATTTGTCTAGTGAAGGAAATGTTCATGAAGAAATAATAACAAATAAGAAAAAGATACGTAAAAATAAATTGGAAGAGACCAATGATTTAATTAATAACAATAAGAGTAACAAGAAGAATGAAATAGAGTTAACACAGAAGAATAAGGCAAATCAAAATGGAAATGTGAATTTTGAAAATCATACAAATGAAGAGAAGCTAAAAGATAAACTTAAAATTAAGAACAGGAAAAAAATTAATAAAATTGATAAGAAAAACATATTGAAAAACAAAAATAAATTTAATAAAAAGAATAAATATAAAGAAAGCATGTCTACTGATAATCCACTCGGCAAACTTTCTGATGAAAGGCTTAAAGCTTATGGGTTAAATCCTAAGAAATATAGAGGATTTTTAAAATATAAGAAATTTTAATATTTTTTTTTATTTTATTATTATTATGTTATGAACATAGATTTATGAATAAAATGCAATATCTTTATATACCATTGTCTTCATTTTCTTTCTCTAAAAACGACAACTAATATTCTTATCTTACGACAAATTCAAAAGTTATATTTAATTTTGATTGAAAAATTAATTAACACGTCTTGTTATGTCATACTTAAAGTATAGTTAATTTTTTACTTACGTCACAGCAATAGCAAATAATGAGGAAGTATTAAAAAAAATGAAAGCGCCTCCACTAGGTGGCGACTCTAGCAAAAGTTGATTTTTGCAGGAAAAAAATGGGCCGAGTCATTTCCGTTTAAAAAACTGAAATTTGAAAAGTTCCAAACTTACACATCAATAAAAATAGGAAAAATTATAAATAGAATATTGAGTTTTGAAAACTAATTTAATTTCAAACATGAAAGCAAATCGGAAAGGTTGTCATGGATAAATCATGAACGTACCGTGGCGACATCTAGTAGGATTTCGGGAACTAATGTTTTTTCAAATACTCCCTCATTAAATAGCGAGGCTGTTAATTACCTTTAAAAAGTTATATAGAAATTACGAAAATGCGATTTGGAATACACAACGACAGCTTACTACGTTTCGTTTCCCAAAAAGGTATCTAAACTTGTTTCGTTTCATTTTCTACGGAAAGATATTCATTTGTCAAAAGGTTAATTCAAGAAATCTATATTAGTTTCAAATTTACTGTAGATATCCGGTATTAGTTAAAATATTTGCATATGTTTATGCACCAACTGTAATATAGATGGTATTGGCACCTTATGAATCGATAACAATTTGGTTTTACAAGGGGTCGCTCAACAACCGAAGCTGGTGTCGAGTTAATACAAGAAATTTTTAATGCCTGGGAGGACTCGCATGGTCTGTTTCCTGTGACCTATCTAAGGCATTTGATTGTGTTTTTCATGAAATATTGATTAGGAAACTTCATTACTATGGAATTAGAATTAACTCATTGGATTTTATCGTCTCATACTTGACTGACAGAATGCAGAGTGTTGATATCAATGGTAAAAGATCCCTTGGATCGAAAGTTAAGATGGGTGTTCCGCAGGGCTCAATACTTGGTCCTTTTTTGTTTTTAATTTACTCAAATGACTTGCCTTATTTCGTAAGGGCTAATCATGAAATAGTTTTGATTTACAGATGACACATCATTTTTGTTTAAAATTAAGTACCTCTATATGAAGATGTTTAATGTAAATAATCTTCTCCTAAATGAAGGAAAAACAAAACGCCTAAAATTTGTACTATCTAATGTAAATGTATAAAAAAAAAGTAGATACAAAAGTAAATATAAAAGATAAGAACAGGGTTCTTGTAGATATCACAGTATTTTTAGGAATAACATTTGATTCTACGATACAGTGGGCCTCGCATATTGATAAATAATCGAATAGATTTAGCTCTGCAGCATATGCCGTAACGAAGAAATGTAGGTTAACTGACATAGATAATGCCAGATTAGTATACTTCAGTTACTTTCATAGTGTAATGTCGTACGAAACCCTATTATGGGGAAATGCTGCCGTCATACAAATAATTTATGTGCTTCAAAAAAAGAGCAATTAGAACAATTTATAATCTTAGGATTAGGCACTCTTTAAGGGAGAAATTTCAAGAAATGACTGTTGCTTCTCAATACATATACGAGAAGATGTACGTTCGTAAAAATATTAGTTTGTTTTCTATAAAAAGTGATGACACACAGAACAATGGCAAAATGGACTACGAAAAAAAAGTTCTTCTACCAAGATGGAACTATTACCAAAATGTAGTTAATAAGTTGAATGTTTACCAAAATATAGTTAAAAAGCTGGGAAAAGAAAGATATTCCTCTCTAAAATAAGTCTTTATTTTTTAGAACCCAGTTTAAATTATGTTATTTTTGAACGCATCTTAATAATAATGTCATTCCTAGAGAAGCCCTCTCTTTTCAAAGAACAACATCGATTTTATTTCTGACTAATCTAATTTGATACAAATATTATATTATTTACTAACCATAAAATCCATGAAAATTATAAAACTTAGATTAGATTACTAATATAATTAGATGTTACCTAGAGGAAAATAGTTTATTTATAATTAAAATTAATGATTATTCATAAGAATCGATATTACAGTATTCAATAATCGATTGCGACCTCCCATTTTTAGACAAGTATGTGTAGACGTGTTTCTACGCAGACCGTTTTGTAACTTTGGCGGCGATTTTGTATTATCTTCTGTATTATGGGGAGCATACTACATGCTGTGCTCATATAATGACCATAGTTTGGTATCTTGGATGGGCCAGACATGAACAGAATGTAGCTGCTCCTGCAGCATTCCGTGATGAGGTATTCATTAGAGTTGTAATAAAGAAAAGAAAAATCAACATGTTGTTTTGCTATATCCTTTTGACATTAGTATTTTCACTACTACTTTATATAAGTTATAGTGTAAGATGGAAAAGTAGAGTTATTGAGAGCAATCTTCAAAATTCTATTATTTTTTGATGTTCATTGGTTCACAAAAAATTATTATATTTCTTACAGTCAATAAAAATAATATATCAGATATGGAGCAAGTTTGAAGTTGTGGCGACTGATACATAGCGACATCTATTACATCGCAGTAACATCGCCACAACAATCGATAGCGAGAAGACTAGCATAGTCACAGCCATTGATAGCAAGACGAACTGCAATAAGTTTCAACAGCAAGTAACGAGATGGCGCTGTACCAATACAAACAACATAAATTAATAACTACAAGACATTTAGAACAAAGAAACCTTCATCACACAGAATAAGTTTCATTACCAATTAACATAAATAGAACGTCCAACCTACATCGGTTGGACCGCGGTCCCCGGGCTAACAACACCTAGCTCGGAGGGAGACAATTATCCTTTAGTCTCCCTGGCCAGTTGTCTCCATCACCACAGTTAGGGACCCAACATTCAATCTTACGGTTCCTAAAGTGGTGACCCCGATGATCTTCAACCGACGTGATCTTCAACCGACGTGATCATCAGCAACCTTCAGCATCACAACGCAGCCAATCACCCTTCATCATCAGTCTCTCATCCCTCACCAGCACAGCCACTTCAGCAGCAAGACAGCCAACACCAAGGTCCATCACAGCAGCATCAACGGCGCTTCCTGGATACTTGGCACCACTCGACGGCATCATCCCGACCTGGTCCTCGCAGCCCACGACCGGACCTCAGTTCACACACAACTCACCGGCGTGGCAGTTCTGCACACCAGCAGCTTCGGTCCCGACGTCACTACCTGGCACTTGCAAGCTCTGAAGCACTGACTGCATACCACCTACTATCAACATGGATCGACCTTCGGTCTAGGGGGAAAGTACTGTGGCGACTGATACATAGCGACATCTATTACATCGCAGTAACATCGCCACAACAATCGATAGCGAGAAGACTAGCATAGTCACAGCCATTGATAGCAAGACGAACTGCAATAAGTTTCAACAGCAAGTAACGAGATGGCGCTGTACCAATACAAACAACATAAATTAATAACTACAAGACATTTAGAACAAAGAAACCTTCATCACACAGAATAAGTTTCATTACCAATTAACATAAATAGAACGTCCAACCTACATCGGTTGGACCGCGGTCCCCGGGCTAACAACACCTAGCTCGGAGGGAGACAATTATCCTTTAGTCTCCCTGGCCAGTTGTCTCCATCACCTCAGTAGGGACCAAACCTTCAATCATACGGTTCCTAAAAAGTATTATGTGAAAGTATGCACTTCTAGGACCACGATTAGGCATTATCTGACGGGTGCTTTATATATTTCAACTGTAATACCTCTAACTTAAAATGCTACAGTTTAAATAATACGACATAACCTTAAAAACATATTACACAATTACTCGATACTGGCTGGGAGCTTTTAAAAATATATTTAATATCTTTCTTTGTTCTAGTTGTATAGACAAACAAAATAACATATGTTTCATCAAGTTACGTTTTATTCGATTTTACTAGTCCAAGCATGTTAGGCAGATGGCCATTGTTCTTTGATACAAGAAATAAAAATAAATTAACGTTGCGGGCACCGTTACAGGTCACTAGACTGCAAAAAGTTAGTAACTCATTTTTTTAATGTTAGTGATTCATCTCATTTTGTGTGCGCTTCTACAATAAAGTCCTAAGCAAAATATGTAGGGTTGGGGACGGTGTTGCGTTGATTGTTTGCTTACTTTATAAGTAAGTAGATGGTATTTATATTATTATTTATAACAAGAAAAGTAACATTATAGAAAAAAAATGTTTCCGTACCATAAACAAGCAAAAAAGAAGCAAAAATACACGTTTCTTGCATGGGAGCCCCATTAAATGTTTATATAAGTAATTCTAGATTTTAGTATTTGTTGTAAAAGTGACAACAGAAATACACCATCTGTGAAAATTTCAACTTTTTTGTTATCACGATTCATGAGATACAGCCTGGTGACAGACACGGACGGACGGACAGTGACGTCTCAGTAATAGGGTCCCGTGGTAAGAGGTAGTAGATTAAAGATGGTACATTTCAAGATTTGTTTGTATGATATTTCAACATTATTCGTCGCTTGATAGAATAGATAAGTATCAACTACATCGTAACGATCGAATCAATGTGCCCTCAAATCGGTAGATTGCCTCTTAAACAGTCAACTAAAAGACTTATTAGCGCTAATCACATAATAACTGCAGTCGAGCGCAGCGCACGCTCCCCGCACCGCATCATAAGTAGTACGCACGGGTATAGTAATATGACATTGCGCTAGAAATTTATCGATGAAGTAATTACGGTTACTGCGGCATATCATTGCCGCCCACCGCCGCTGCAAGGTTCAGTTGATAACAACAATCGAATAACATTGATTGAATCGACTTTTATCGACTAAGCTGAACAATAGACTAATTCGATTTTTTAAAGTAATAATCGCCCAATGCTTATATCGATTCAGTTCGGACATCCCTATACTAAACTGACTGATCGACAAAATAAGCTATTCTTTTTTCTTTGGCCGGCGAGCATTGGTGACGAGATAAGGTGGTTATTGCTTTTTTTCTTAATTTAATATTGAAAATATTCATAAAAATCTATATTCTTTAATCATAATTTTATAGTAGAAGTTTTAAAGTTACAAGATATTTTAAATATTGTAAGATGTAAGTAGATTTGAACGCAACCTCTAATGTGACTTTCTAAATGCCCTGAAGTAGACCACGGCGATGACTTTTTATTGTCGTGTTTGGACAACTGGGCTATATTATTTGCTTCGGTCTATGATTCCCAAGCGTACGTCAACTTTGTATTTGGAAGCCCAGACAGGCATAATACCGAGCTTTTACGCTTGCGACGGTTCGTAGCTACAAACCTCTACTTATTAGATATCGTAAATTTACAATAATTTTGTGTAATTTTAATAATTAGCGTGTTTTCGTTTAGCTCGCCAAGATGGTGAACAACAGAGTACCTTCGGTATTCTCGAAAACATACGTGACGCCTCGTCGTCCATTTGAGAAAGCGCGTCTCGACCAGGAGTTGAAGATCATCGGAGAGTATGGTCTTCGCAACAAGCGCGAGGTGTGGAGGGTGAAGTACACGCTGGCTAGGATCCGTAAAGCTGCTCGTGAGCTGCTCACACTCGAAGAGAAAGATCCTAAAAGGTTGTTTGAAGGTATGCAAAACTAACCTTAATTCTCTTTTAGTGTAGATAAAATATGAAATCTCTACTATCGGTAGCACATTTTGTGTTAGTCTATGGCTTTTTAAACATTGTGTCTATTTTTATACTTTTAAGGTTATAAATATTTACATTATCTAATTGTAAATTCATTGAGGTTTTATATTCCAAACGTTTTCTATGATGATAAATTCTGGCAACCTCTTGTCTTAATAACTAATGTGGACTTCTTTTTTACTGATAATTAATTGGCATAATGTATTTTGTTAATTTCTTTAGTATTCTATATTAACTACTGCTTTATGACTCTAGGTAATGCCCTTCTCCGACGTCTGGTAAGAATAGGAGTGTTGGATGAGAAACAGATGAAGCTGGATTATGTGCTTGGTCTGAAGATTGAGGACTTTTTAGAAAGGCGTCTTCAAACACAGGTGTTCAAGGCTGGCCTTGCCAAGTCTATCCATCATGCTCGCATTCTAATCAGACAAAGGCATATCCGGTAAGTGGTATAGTGGTCTTTGTGACAACAGCTTTTCACATTATCAGTTTTAATACTTTATTATTCTATTATTCTACTCGAATAGTATTTTGAAATATAAAACTATTTGAATTGATTATTTAACACTTACATTTTCTCTAATGGTGATGCTATTTTTGTTTAGTAGTATTTATTTTCATATACTTAATAAAAGCCCCATCTAAAATAATTTATTTCAATATCTCTGTATGACAAAAATTTAAACCAATGTTATTTATATTCAATTAGCTTTTTGGTTTTAACTATTTTGCTTTGTATGATGGTCAAGATAATTTCAGTAGTCTAGTAATGAAACAAGTATAATTCCACATCAAATCCATTATGAGTTTCAATCTCGAATGCAGGTAGCAGGACATGCTGTCCCACTGCTATGTGAACTGTGATCAAAACGCTGATAAGCAAGCATTCTTAAAGACCACTTGAATTCCAACTTTGTGTTGGGTTCAATGTCTTGAAATTGTATAAATGCTTATAAAGCGCTTACAGGTAAGGTTGTAGAAGTGTTTTAAATAATACAGATGCTGTTATTCTTGTATTATTAAATTCTGCTATTCTTGAGATTGTGTAACAACTTAATATATTTTTCTTTCAACCTGATTTGTTTTTGTCATCACAGAATTGATGTTAAGAAAAAATAGTTTTTATGAATGAGACTTATAAAATCACAGCTGTGTATGTCACGGATTCTTCAAAATGTTTGTGTTTTTGCCAATCAATTTATAATCTCTGAAGACTTTTCTGATGATTTTTACTTAATCAAATGTTTTTTATTTAACATTTTACAGTGTCCGCAAGCAAGTAGTGAACATACCATCCTTCATTGTCCGCTTGGACTCTGGCAAGCACATTGACTTCTCCCTGAAGTCTCCGTTCGGTGGCGGCCGCCCTGGACGCGTTAAGAGGAAGAACCTGCGCAAGGGACAGGCTGGCGGCGCCACCAATGATGAGGAGGAGGATTGAACAATAAACCACTCATAAACTTAAATGTTGTTTATTTTATTGGTTGATATTAAAATATAAGGGTTAAGTATTAACCCTATAAGGCCCTCAGTAAACACATGTGGGACGACCATTTATATCGTCCCTACAGCAACCAAAAACGTGCAGTGACATCTATTATCAATCTGAACGTAACTGTTGGATTTTTATCAACTAAATAATATAAAGCAATGTGCATAGATGTCGCCACTGGCAAAAAGAAGTATGTTTTTTGGTACTTATTCCAAAAAAATCTAACCACTAAGAAAATTATCATAGAACCTAGACTCAATCCTTTATCTTCCATTAAAGTTTCAGGTCTGAAGTTCGCCCGTTTTAGAGAATAGAGTTAAAAAAATTGTATGGTGCCTACACTAGTATGCAGAGCCACAAAACTCGTTTTAGAAAATAAAGCTTAGAAAAAGAAAACACACGCTAAGGGATCTTTGTTCACGGCCTAGCTTTTGGTACGATATTTTGGGATAATTGCGAAAGTGGGGAAATTCCGATAATGAAATTAAACAAAAAGTAATGTTGTAATTAAAAGATTTTTTATGTAATAAAAGCCTGTTTAATAGTCAACTTTACCGACACAAAATTTGTTGTTAGTGTTAAACAGAATCCTATATCAATATTGGGAAAATCGAATTCTTAATTTATTAACTATTTATTTATTATACTACATAAGCCACGCACTGTATATACTCAAACCAGGCTTATCTGCATTGATGAACTTTGACATTTCATTTGACTGAAATAACAATAATTAATAGCGAATAAAAATAATGATTCCACATCGTCCACATTGATTAATTTATAGCATGGATGGGAACGTAACTAAAGGATGTGGCTGCCATAGATTTTCTTAATGCACCTAAGTATGTGTTACGTCTGTTGACAAAAATATAAAAAATTCTTCTCATTATTTTCTTATTCTTCGAGAGAAAAACAACTTTTCATTTACCTTATTCTCCGTTTACTGGAGACAAGTTAACAGTCAACAATTATGGACTTTGAAACTCTCCTTCGATATTTTTAGTGGTTCTTTGATGACAAGCTACTTGGGCATATTGTAGAAGAAATGCACAAATTTAGTATACAAAAAAAATCCTCAAAGCCATTTACAATTTCAGTAGTTCAATTGAAAAAGTTTATAGGTATTTGTCTGATTATGAGCTTGACACCATTACCAAATATTCGAAATATGTATTGGGCAACTAAATTTTGTGTTCCTCTGATTATGGAGACTAAACAGTTTTGAAAAATCTGCCAGTTCTTATATTTTAACGATAACTCCACACAACCACCATCAGATAAATCAGGGTATGATCGTTTACATAAGTTTAGACCAATAGTAGAAACATTGAAAAATAATGTCAGTGTGCCTAAGTGGAAGGCCCTATCCGACGACGAACACTAGCTGGTTATTGTATAAAAGAGTTGGGGAATAGAATAATACGCGAGTTCTACTAAAACAAAAAGATTTTAGATTTGAGGTAGGCAAAAGTTTATGCATGTTGGGGCTATCCATAAACAACAAGGGAGGTAGACCATCAATAATGTCTGAAGAAATTTAGAACGAACGAAGTCCAATACTACAATCCTACCGTGACTTTAGACGTGACGGATTTGAGCATTTTCCGGTCTGGGGTGAAAATAGACAAAGATACAAATATCCTGGTTGCAAAGGAAAAAACCTTTATTTTTTGTGAGACATGTCAGGTAGAACTTTACTGATAAAGATAATATTTTTTTTCTGAAACTTTCATAGTAGCTTTTTTAAACATAATTGTTTCTTATTTCTTTTGTTTCAGACTTTGTAATGTACACTTTTAATATATTAATAATTCTAAAATAAAAAAAGCTTGTGATAATTAAAATTAGATACTATTTCCTAACTATTACGTTTATTGTAGTTCAGTACCAAAAAGTATAGTTTAGGCTTAGTGTACCATTAATGGAACTGAAATAAAAAAATGATTTTCTGATAAAATATTAGGATTTTATTTTTTTTCTAACTACTAATAACTAGTTACATCATATTTATTTTTTCTGAAACCAAAAAAAGAGCTTTGTAGGGTTAAAGCTAGGCTTAGAATACCGCACTCTATTAATATGTGTGAAAATGCGAAGAAATCCAAGATATAAGCTAGGTTTTCATAGTCTAGCTGGCAAAATGTTGCTTTAGTCTTTGATTTTTTAGTTTTTTTTTTATAGATTCAACGGATGCTACAGATGCTATAAAAACTATATCTTAGATAAAACATCGCTCGCCATATATAGTAAAAGCAGCAAAAATAAAATACAATAGATTAACTAGGTTTACCAACCAGAAAAAAATCCGTTAGATTTTTAGACTTCACTCAATTCTGCATTCTCACAACGCTATATTGATAAGCAATAAGCATTTTTTTTAAAGATTTTGTCTACATAACTAAAAGAGCTAAGAGGGCTGCATATTCACTAACTCCACTGACAATCTAAAGTCGTATAACCGAAAAAATGAGCAGTTTCAATATATCAAAATCGCTAATTCGTATTTTCTATCAAGGGTTCGCATTTTGAAATGTCAATATCGGCTATCTCCACTAAACTCCATTTTAACACCTGATTTTGTATCGATAAACTTCGTATTCTGTTCGCATTAGAGACCATTAAAGTGAACTTCAATTTTTTATCTAAATTAAAAAATATATAACAACTGGCTAGAGATTACTGCGTTATTAAAAATAAGTTTCAAAAGCCCTGTGAACAATTTATTTGTCTTCAGAAGTTGCCGATTTACAAAATATGCATATGGCGCTGTTAGTTTTAAATTATATTGTCAACAACAATGTCGAGGTGCCGTGATGTCTCCAAGGGACACAAGCCTTCCCTAAGGATAGGAAGAACGAGTCATAACTAACCACGCGTGCCCAGCGCAGATTGGTGGGTGCTAAGGACTGTCAATGTAGTCAGAACACACTAACCACTACGCCATTGAGACTACGTATAAGCTTTTTTTATCCGAAAATCAAATGACGCCCCATGTTATATAGTCTTCGACGACCTCGTTGAGGCGGTCCTTGCACAACTGAGTAGCTTCCGTCTGCATCAAATTCTTCAGTCCAAGAACTTCGCCAGGCACTGGCGCCTGTTCTTCTGCCACAGTGACCACGGGTATCGTGTACAACGCAAATACCAGCCCGAGATGAGAGTTCTGAAAATAAGTTTTGTTGTACGATTTTCTGTAGGTTAGTATATTTTTAGTTGAGTCGCAACGATCAGTGACTGTTTAGTGGATTTTTTTTCAAACCAAGATCTTATTTTTTTATGGGTAACATTTTTATATATACCATAAACTAAATAGATAGCATTTTGCTTTATTGTATTTCATCGACCGCAGTTAAAAGTCCAGAGGTGCCGATGTTTTAAAGCGGCCAGGTACTCCACTAAACAGGTGATTTAGTCAAAACCATTAATTCATCAGCATGCTTACTCTCGAACGAAGAGTACGAAACGGCACACTTTAATTAAAGAAAGATATAAAAAAACTATTTATTTTTAATAGAACCGACTTCAAACTTTAATAATATGATAAATAATACTTATCTCAAAAGCAACTTCTATTATTTTGTTTTGTTATAAAAGGAAAACTGGTGATTCAACTTGGATAAAATTTAAATGGGTCCACCTCGGTCTATTAAGCTGTCGAATGAAAAATAATTTTGAAAATCGGTTAACAATTATCGGAAACATTCATAAAAAATACATCGCCGTCGAACATATAACCTATCCCTTTGGATTTTGAAGTTGGTTAAAAACCATAAGGGTAGGCAATAAAAACCTCTTTCATATCGGCATCAAAATCTTCTTTAGACAAGACTATTCCTGGATCAAGATGTAGCCTGGTGAGCGCGTGGCTCAGCTGCTGGTAGTAATGTTCTAGCAGTTTATGGTAGTACTGCCGACGGAACGCCGCGTCCGAACCCGTGAATATAAAGTGCATCAGATCCTTCACGGCGGATGCAATGTGCAAGATTTGGTAATCTATCAGGATCACTTCGATGCCATCATCCTGTAAATAAAATAAAAAATGATTCTTTATTAACATAAAACAGCTTAACAATAGTATGTTGAAACAGCCTTTTAGAGTTGTTTTAAGTTTTGTATTATGCCTGTTTTGCTCAAAACCTTTGCAATTTACAATGATAGAAATGAATATACGTTAACAATATTATGTTAATAAATTATTACATTCCAATACATATGTACGCTAGTCAGTTATTTGTTATTATTTTTCATTGTTTTTTTTTCGTTTATGTGTATTGTGTGTACGAGAGTGTAAGAGAGTATGTCTTTGTCTATTTATGTTATAATTACACTTATCTCATTTTTTATATTCAACAGTGAGTAGAACAGATTATTTTCTAATTTTAAAAATGCAAACTAAGGAATAGTGATTTTTGGAATTAGGACACTATGCAACTTTTAAAGTCGCAATCGCTTTAAATAAAACCTACCAAAACTCGTCGAAAGATTGCGGTTAGCACAAAATCTATCATATGACATGTCTCATTAGCTTTCAAAGATATACAGCAAATTAACGATATCGTTCATTCAATAGGTATATATCAAAAGATGACGCGATCGCAGTTGTTACCATATGACAAAAAATTGTACCTTCAAGTTCGTGTATATCTTTCAAAAGTCAAATTGAAAAGCATTGCGTTCGATTTTAGTTAGAAAATTGGCCATAGCCACACGCCTTCAAGTCGAATTGAATAGGGAGAATGTGCGATGACCCACCACGCGGGTTCAGTCTGAGTAAGTGGATGTTAAAGACTGCAGATATAGCTCGGACCATCGGCTTAAAGTCTTTACACGCACGTCCTGCTAGGACTCGAGACAATAAATATTAGGTCACGCATTCTTTGACTGGCCCTCGCAAAATTTGCTTAATTTCTGCATCGCATTCTGTCATTAAGCTCATTTGATTGATCATTATGAGGTACCTTTTTATTGTCAAAATCACAGATCAAAATTCTATTAACCAAGCCAGCATGGTATATTTTTGAATTTCCAATATAGGAAATTATTTAACTAGTTACCTGACGCTTTTTATGCATTATGTTGCTCATTCTGAAATCGCCGTGATTGAGCACTGGTCTCGGTGGAGTATCGTGATAAGTTGCTATTGCTTTTGGTAGGTAAATCTTTAAGTATTCCCGTAATCTTTCCTTATATTCTTCCTTAACAAGTTCAACAGATTTATACACAGTCTGCAAAAACATTCCCGACATTGATTGATCTAACGTCTTTTGGAATTTGATTTTTTCTGTTAACTCCGCATAGTCTGCTGGGAAGTCGTGCTGCATAGCGATAGAAAGCGCGTGGAAACGTGCTATTTGCTGTACCGCAGCAGATGCATAATGCCAATCGAACGATGAAAACCTATCTTGCACGGTGAATCCTTCTGCAGTCAAATCTTGCATCACAATAACTTCCTCCATATCTGTGTCACTATAACCGTACACAACAGGAAACACAAAACGATGCTCTGATGTAACTTGGTGCTTGTCCTCTATCTTTTCGTATACCCCAGCTAGTTTTCTGTAGACGTACTGCTCTGTGAAATATATTGATGTGGGTATCATCGAACGGGCATCTTTGCCTAATGTAGCAACTTTAGCGAAAAATTTGAGATCTTCTTTATTGGGCGCGGACATCTTCCCGCAATATAACTGTGAGGTGTAACTAGCACCCCCGGTGGACACGGGTAACACTTTCAATTCACCGTGATCATAGCCCTTCTCTTCCGCGATATCATGGAGAGTTCGCTGCAACACTTTTTGATGCACGTCCATCATATTCACTGTCCCGCTGAAATGTAGATTTGAACAAAATTTGTCATATGTTACGTCAGTATTAAATGGGGCGTCAAGATAACAAACCCATTCAAAGAACAGAATTCATAATAAAAAGAATTAAAAACAATTCCATTTCATTAGTCTAATTTATTAAATAAAATATTTATATAATTCATTACATAGTAAAAAAAACATCGTTTACATTACCACGACATCAAGATTATTTAAGCTAAGTTAAAAATAGTTTTATTACAAGTTTGCAAAACCATGACGTGTCAACTTAATATTTCCATTCAATACCTAGGTAACCATACCATATGACTCTTATCAATATTATTGTAGGCTAGGCGACTGTGGTTTAAGAGGATAGATGATTAAAATGAAAACATCTGATTTTGGTAAAACAAATGTTCCGCTGATAGTGCAAATGCGTTCGCGTCGTAACTAGGTAGCGGATCGCGCTCGTTGCTCACTCTTTCGCAGCGAAACTGAGACTGCCTAACAAGTCGTGGGTTGCAAAGTGTGCGTGAGCGCCTCCTTCCTATTGGTCGAACTCAATAGGATTAGGGTTGTTACCCAGCCAGTCCGATATTGGTTTTGCACCATCAGCGAAAACAAACGTTTATTAGAAACAGAGGATCACTGTGTGTAGCACATACACAATAACAAAATATCTTATTACCAAAACTAACATACAACTAAACATAAATTATAAGAAGCGAGCCGATTGTAATACCATAATTAACAATTACAATACCTAGGTTGTAGATGTGGACATTGAGCGGCAGCTATTAGGCACTTGATATAAAATTTATATCAAGTAATAATGGACACGACAGGTATAAAATCAAATTATTCTATCAAGTTAAGTTAACAAACAAACAAGTAGCTGATCGATACTAGAAATTTACCAGCAATACTTATCTATGTTATGTTGAAAATAAAGTAGTACTATGAACTTTACTTACGCGCTAGTTTCAGACGATATAATGTGATAAGATTACGAGGTTGTATTCGTCAGATACCTTGAAGTAATCACATATTATAACGTGGCAAGTTTAAAACGAAACATTATAAATTGCTTAAAATACTTTTCCGTTATGGTAGACGCATCACAAAAGAAATTAGAATATATCCTCCGCAAAATTGCGTCAGAGCAGAGCTATGAAAATTATGAGTTGGAAATTAAACATATATCCTCAGGTGGAGCCAATTACAGCTCGAATTTATTCATCGGTAATATCTCAGCTCCGAACAAAGATGACTTGAAGATATTCGCAAAAGTAGCTATTATGGGAGAGAGTATACGCTCAATGATGCCTACAAATATATATCACACTGAACAATATTTTTATTCGAGGCTAGCAGATATCTTTGCAATGATCCAAGATAAGCATAATATTCCTGAAAAAGAGCGCCTCTCTATACCCCGCATGTATGGTTATGATGCTACGGCGCCGGACGAGATAATAGTGCTACAAGACCTTGCATCTGATGGTTTCGTGGTACAGGATCGTTTTCAATCATTCAACTGGGAATACGCTGCTTCTGCAGTACAGCAGCTAGCTCGTTTGCATGCGCTCTCCATCGCGATGAAATACGACCATCCAAACGAGTATGAAGAAGTATCAAAGACACTAAAAGTGAACGCGGATAGTTTCGATGCAGCCATCAAATACATGGAGGAGACCTCTTTGAAATCAGTTGCAATTATCAAAGAAGAAAATAAAGAAGTGTTGCGGAATTATTTAAAGAACAATTTTCGCAATTTAATGGAAGCCTTAAAATCACCAAGGTGTCAGAAAGTACTGTTGCACGGAGACTTCAGAATGAGCAACATTATGCATAAAGTTCAAAAGGTAATTACTTATTTATAAATAAAGGATAGTTGATCGTGCATCTTGAAATGCCAAATCCATCTTCCGAATGTAGTTATCACTAATTTTCAGGATAACAAGGTTGAACTTACGATTCTTGATTACCAAACAATGATGTTTGGGACACCAGTGAACGATCTCCTGTACTTTATCTTTACGGGTTCTGATAAGGAGTTCCGAAGATGGTACTTTCATCCCCTACTAGACCAATACTATGAGCAGTTTAGTCTATCGTTAACCAGATTGCAGTTGAATCCCGCCAAAATACTGCCAAAACACGAATTCGACCGAGAGCTGAAGCAGGTAAGATTATGAGAGTTAATTTTATTAATTTTTGTTTAAACACTAGACCAGAGAATGCGAGCTATCATTGGCGTTTGGTATATCGCACGTTGTGAATGACAATGTCACTAACCAAAAACGACGTATTTTTTACTTTTGGCAACATTTTTCTTTGTTAAGTATAAACTTTAAAATGCAAAGATCCCTGTGAACGTAGCTTGCGTATAAACTGCTAGGTGGCGTAGTGACGATACGTTGTATAGAGGGGCTGATTACAATTTCTTAAAATTTAAACGCTCATTACTCAAAATCGCATTTTTTGCATTGTGTCACTATCGTTCTCAGCGTACGATATATATAAATATACCTACAAGATTGACTGGGCCGATTGCCAACCTCTGACAGTTGTAGGTTCTTACGATTTGTGCGATATATTAAATAGGTTACGAATAATTTAAATAATCAATTCAACTATTTTCCAGCATTTTGGATTGGGTTTGGTATTCGCCATGGTCAGTATACCGATAGTGACGGTGGAATTAGACGAGGCACCCGCTTTGAACACGACCCTGGACCTTGACGCCCTGATGAATTTAACTCCCAGCCAGTTGTGCACTCAAAGACTTAACGATGTCGTTCAAGACTATATCAATTGGGGTATACTTTGACATTAATACCATGATATCGCATTTAATACAATGTAATAAATACAATGTTTACAATAAATTTATGCTACAAGAGCTATTAAATTGTAGTTTCAGCAGCCTCGCATATTTTTCTAGAATATATATAAATAATCTTTCAAAAATAATAGATAGATAGATATACACTTTATTGCTCACACATAATTATTAATAATAGATTAACAATACAGGAACTAATGCTAGGGTGGGCAAAGGCGGTCTTATCGCTAAAAGAGATCTCTTCCAGACAACCTTTGATTTGTGTAACATTTGGATGGAAAAACCGGAGGTAGTGTGCTAGTAGTACAATAGAAAAAAAAAAACAAAAATAATATAATAAGAAAATAAAATAGTGTGATAATGAAGGTAAATTGAACAAAAAATGAGAATTACAAGGTAAACAATATATTATAGGTACAAATCCAAAAGATGCTTATGCAATTTAGTTTTGAAAATGGCAACAGATTTTGCATGTCGAATAGCAGACGGCAGCTTATTCCAGAGCACAGCAGCTTTAATGGTAAAGTACTCATGGTAGAATCCCGATCTAGTATAAGGCATCTCCAGCACATTATCCGCCCCAGACCGCAGCTCGCGACTATGATTTGCGCCCAGAAATTGGAAACGTTCCCTAACGTAAGGACTACGCGGATCGTAAAGGATCTTAAAAATAAAGGAAATTGAGGACATGCTCTTCACGACGCTGTTTTATGAGGAGCCACTCAAGTTTACGTCTAAATTCAGTTTTGTGGTCAAATTTACGCGAACCGTATATGAATCTAATACAAAGATTTTGTAGACGCTGTAGCTTGTTAAGCATGTCCTCATTCAGATCAATGAGACAGACATCAGCGTAGTCCAAAATATCTAGATGTGAATGCTTCAGATGAGGTTTTCCGACAAAAGATAGTTTTGGAAAGATACCGTAAGTCGAGTAGAAATAATAAAACTATATATATTAAACATATATTATTATACAATAATAATTCATACACGTAGACACTGCAAGAATGGTAAAATACTTTGGTACTTATTTACATAAAATATATTAAGTATATTTATTTATACATAGTTTGGTTTAAATAATAACTTATCACATAGGTAATGTTTAACTGTATAACAAACTGCTTATGTAATGCACATGCATTTGAAAGGTGAAAATGATAAGATATAATTATGTTCAATACCCATTTATCATTACTTCAGTACCTACTTCATATAGCGCTGCTCTGGTTTTGGATTTATAATTACTTAGGCCCCGTACTGGATGCTCGCGGGCGCAGTGCCGGTGATAGTGGAACTTGGCCAGCGGGGTCATTTTAATTTGTATGTTTAATATGAATTCCCGTGTATGAAATATTTATATTCATTACTTGTTTATTAACGAGGAAGTAGTCCCCGAAATTAAACTAGATGTCGCTGTGGTACTTTCTTGATTTCTCCATGACAACACTTCCGGTTTTCATTAATGTATAAATTAATTTCCAAAACTCAATAAACAACTCATATTCCATTTGTACTTTTCCGTATTTGTATTGATATCTAAATTTTGAACTTTGCAAATTTCAGTTTTTTAATATATTAGTTAAAATGAACGGAAATGACTATCTTTGGTTTTCGTTTCCTGCAAAAATCAACCTTTGGTGGAGTCGCCATCTAGTGAGATGCATTTAAGCCCTTTCTTTTTTTTTTTACTTAAAATACTTCCTCATTATTGTAAAATTAGTTAAAACTGTAGTAGAAAACTCTATAATCACTCAGTCGCGGATTCGGCGGTCGATTGGCGTGCAACGCCCTTTGCCCGCTGTCCGTGCCGCGACCGTCTTGTACGGTTAAAATAGGTATTTCTATGAAATTGTTGTACCGCGGTTCAGTTAGCGGCTTTATGCTCTTTGCCAATTATCTGTCTGTTACATAAACATTTAGATTTTAGTTCTCTTTAAGTTCACGCTAATAGGGCTTTTATGAGAAGTTCTTTAATATTAACAAGACGAGTCTGACTCTGAATTATAGGGTCCCAGATTATTTATCAGCCTATATATAAGGTACAAATGCTCAAATGTGCAAAAAAACGGGATTACATATTTTTTAATGAAAAAACAAATAACTTACTTTTTATTTTATTTTTCAGAGAAACGCGTTTGTTTCTACATATTTTTTTTTGGATTTAATAAAGTAGAAAAAAAATTGAAATCCTAGTCAAATATGGTCATTAATTAGGTTTTGAGTTGCAAGGTATATTTATTTCGTTCATTACCCCATTTTAACACCATTCCATGTGAAATCGATTTGTTATACGGGAGAAAGTCGGTCCGGGCGGAACATTTGTATTTATACATGAAATACGGGACGTCTAGCAATACTAATAGGAGATTCATCTATCAGTAACATCGAACAAAAGTATTCAAAGATATAGAACATATTGCACAACAAAATGTCTATTATTGTACTGCAAAGCAATATGTTCTATATCTTTGAATACTTTTGTTCGATGTTACTGATAGATGAATCTCCTGATATAGTATATAGTACACAATCTGGTTATTTAACTATATATACTGTGTTCCTAGGGAAGGCGAAAAACCTGACAATGAAATGTTTTATGTTTCAAAGTAACCGAACACTATCCAATGTAGGTAGGTACCTTTGCGCGGGGTGGGATCAGCGACATACCTATGGCACCTGCCATAGGAACAAACTTATCTTCCGGTGAAGCAGTTGAATCGTAGCTACAACCTATTGTCCTCCTTCAGAGAGACATTGTTCAACTTGTCATTGATATCACGGTCTGATTGAAGCTGTGCTAAACAAAGATCAAGCAGGTGCTCGAGGCTGCGCGCTGTCTGCTCCGCGGAGTACACGTGCATGTCCGGCACGTGCACGAACAACGTGCGGCTGTTGTCCTTACACAACGACGTGTAGTATATGTACTCGCAGAGAAACCTGTAATGTTAATGATACATCAAATAATACCAAGTTAACTAAGTTTATTGTGTTATATAAATCTGAAACAACGAAGGTAGGTACCACGACAACCGAGACCCTTAACAATATAGAAATCTAATTTAATCGAATATATAATCGCGGCGCGCCATGGTCTGGGGACCACAGGTCAGAAAACACTGCATTCTAAGAAATTAACTTATCAATATCAGACAGATATGGCGATACCCTGAAATCAGCGTGCGAACCATTCTGCCCCAGGTGTTGCACTTTAATATGATCATTTAAGAAAGTAGGGACTGGTTTCGAGAGCTATCGTGTTTTGTGTAAATGAGAGTAGTCATTTAACATCAATTACCCTGGCTAGTTTATTGTTAATTAAATTAATAATAGTCAAGAGATCAATTCATTTCTAAGACCACTCCTTTTGGTGGCCTAAAATCCTTAATCGCCTGTCTGCACACTTTTTTCTTTGTTTTATGAATTTCACATGTGTATTCATGGAATTCATGAAATAATGTAAGTAGATAATGCAGAATGTTACTTTTGAATTTATATCTCATTATTTTTGGAACAGGAAAACCACATAAAGGTGTTATGACTCTGGACATGCTGGGGAATACAAATGATTTTCCTTTTTCCCAAAACTGTAGGAGGATACAATTATAAAATGTTTATCTTTCCACTGGCCATAACTATTGAAATTTTCCAATGATGGTTGACAGTGGATAATTAAAGATATCATGGTTGTAAGAAATGATTTCATCTTCAGTTTAGCAGTCTGCACTAACATTTATCTTTCTGTCTTTCCTAATATCACACACAACCAACACTCAAATCAAGTTGAACTGGTACATCCAGTGCTGGTACAATCAATGTTATGTATATATGAAATGGAAAAATATAATGTGGAAATTAGTAAAATATACTCAAAAATTATCTACCTTCCTGCATCTTTAGAAGGTAATGCTTTGGTATTGTGCTCTGGTGGGCAGCTATCATTAAATTCTTTGCACAATTGCTCAACATTTAGTTTAGTGTGAAGTCTTACACCTCCTTCAGCAGGGCATGTGTAGTTAACAGGACAGTTATCAAGGTGATCTTTTCTATGATAGCCTTTTCTATGTGCTTGCATCTCCAGTGTCAAGCATTCTGCACTACTAGACACCCCAACATGAATCATTAACTGTAAATAATAAGAGAATGTATCATGGTACAAATGAAGATAAATTAAAATTATAACTTACTAGCTTTTGCCGACGACTTTGTTTCTGTGGTATAGTAGACATATGGTATAGTGTAATTAAATATCTGTTTTATTTTTAATCCATACCTACACATATATTTAAATGTTTTTTCAATACGAAGTATATTAAAAAATTCTGAAACATCTGATTTTAATAAAATTTCACCTGTATCTGTACACTGATCCAACTTAAAAGATAGGATAGTTTTTATTTTATTTAGTAATTAAATATTTGTATGAGCCACAATAACATGTGACTGGGTCATATTAATAAAAATCATTTTGATGTATAAATCATATTTTGATTACCTAATGTGTAACTTTAAGACATTTTGCTACCAGATATTGTTATTAAAACACACATTTAGGTCCTAGGGTTTGTGGTCTAGCAGTAAGAAGTGCGTACTTGAACATGGAATACAGTTCAAATCGTATTTGCAGCTTGGTCGCGGCGCATTTTTTTAACAGTATAGAATTTATAAAAATGTATTTAACATGAATACATAATTATAAAAAAAAAACTTGAGTTTTTAAAGTATTATTTACGTTACATACTTTAGGATCGAAGGTATCCCATATAGCTGGCACGAACTTATTCACATCCTCGTAGGTTACAGATATTTCCTGTTGAATTAGTTGTATATTGTGTTTCTTCTCAATTTCTTCTTTGTTCATTAATTTTACGGCTTCCCAACTTGCATTCACCGGATGATTAATAAATGGTCCGAAACCAGTTATCATGACTATTGGTTTGAAAATATCGTCCATTTCATTGTACATTATATAGCGATTTTAAAGAAATATGAGAAGTTCAAATTAAATTAAAATCACGAACTGTGGATGGAGATCTTTTATTAATGGCTTATAGGCGCGTTTCAAACAATTCTGCCCACGTCAAGTGATTAAATCTGTTAAATTATAATAAATTAATTTCTACATATAAAATGAAATATGCCGATGAAAACCTGTAGGACGGATGGAGACCAACAAAATCACTGAATATTTTTGATAATAGTCAGCTGATTTTCAATTTCAAAGTTAATTTTTATTTTTTATGTTGGTAAAAGATATGTTGCCAACATACTTTGGCACAAAGAGTACATTTGTATCTTTGGCATGGCATTGGTGCGCTCCAGAAACTATATTACATCGCAACGCAAAGAATGCATTTTTGGTACTTTATTCCCAAGAAATCTAACCACTATAAAGAAAATTATCATAGCACCTAGACAGAATCCTTTATTTTTCATCAAAGTTTCAGGTCTAAATAATTGGTATGGTCCTAGAAACATTATAGAGTGTCATAAGACCTGACCTTACTATATAACACAGATTATATAGTTTCTATATAAGTTACTTTATGGTAATAAGATTCGTTTTAAAAAATAAAGAGCAGAAAATTAAAACAAACGCAAAGGGATCCTTGTCCACAGCGTAACTTTTGGTAGGATATTTTGGGGTAATTACGAAAGGGGAAATTCCGATAACGAATTAAACAAAAAGCAATATGTTTATTATAATTAAAAAAAATATCGTAAAATTTAATAAAAATAAATGAAATGAAAATATCTTTATTCAAGTAGGCTATTACAAGCACTTTTGAATCGTTAAAAAAAAAATTTCCCCTACCACTTGTTCAGGACGTCTTTTAGTTGACAAGAAGAACAAACGAAAGAAACTTACCAGCTTTTTATCATAAGTAATGACATTTACATACCAAAATAATATGTATTATCACAATAATAAATACAACTTTCAAAGTCTGTAGGACATAAGTTGAAAATATAATTAGTCTTTATAGAACAAAGCGAAGGCTATCAATTCCATGCATTGCGATCCTTAAAATAATCATTAACTTTCTAATAGCCTTTACTCATAAGTATATTCTTTACATGAATTTGAAATTTATTTATGGGTATGTGGCGATTGATACATAGCGACATCTAATTCATAGCAGTAACATCGCCACAACAATCGATAGCGAGAAGACTAGCATTGTCACAGCCATCGATAGCAAGACGAACTGAAAGAAGTTTCAAGAGCAAGTAACGAGATGGCGCTGTACCAATACAAACATCATAAATTAATAACTATAAGACATTTAGAACAAAGAAACCTACAACACACAGAATAAGTTTAATTACCAATTAACATAAATAGGACGTCCAACCTACACCGGTCGGACCGCGGTCCCCGGGCTAACAACACCTAGCTTGGAGGGAGACGATTATCCTTTAGTCTACCTGGCCAGTTGTCTCCATCATCAAGTAGGAACCAACACCTTCAACCTTACGGTTCCTAAAGTATTGGAGTAAAGTCGTCAGGAACGGCGGCACTCTCGTCCTTTAAACCCATTATAATGGAGTCTACTTCACGAATGTCGGTGGGGGTCATATAAAAAGACGTTGACGGGAAAATACATTCACTTTTGAGGCCAGCTCTGTTTCTGATACGTTTAGTTTAGAAAGGGTTTTATCTGCCAAAATTTTGCCAATACTAGCGAAAAAGTCATCTGTCACTTTAAGTGAATCCACACTGGATCCACACGGTCAGAGCTGATTTTAGTTAGAGGAGACGCGACGTTATATTTGGCGGGAATATTACAAACGTCACGAACAGTAGACCACAATTTTTTGGAGTTATTTTTATGAGTCATTATCAGATCTTCATAATATTTGTTTTTTATTCTGTGTTGGAGTTCAGTCAAAAAAATTCGGTTGCGTTTATAAACTGTCTGTTTTATCAGGTCAGATGGACTTTTTTTAGTCTGCATATGTCAGATAGCTATGTTAGCCTGATAGCTATGTTAGAGTCTGGCAAGCGAAACGTGTCACAAGAAAAGGGCGGCAATTTCAAAAATTCTTAAGCAGTAAACACTGAATGTAGTACTGCAAAATAATTTTGATACTTTTATTAATTATATTTAATCTTAACATTTAGATATCAATTAAAATTATTTGTTTTGGAACATTTGACTAAAGCGTGACTGTTCTTAATTGTACAGTTAACAGCATATCAGTAGGCCTATTCACTAACTCAACTGACAACCAAGAATCGTCATCACCGTAAAAAATAGACACTTTGATTGTGTCAAAATCACTATTTCGTATTCTCTATCAATGATGAGCAATTTCGAAATGTCAATATCGGCATTCTCCACTGGACTCCATTTTGACACTTGATTTCGTATCGATAAACTGTATTAAAGTAACATTGTTGCAAAGCATATTTGAAGTCGTCGCATAGTACCTCTTAAGCCATTTGTTGTTAAATTAAAGCGAAAAAAAATACGTATCCAATATTTTTCTATTATCTGACTGACGGACTAAATCGAATCTTTTTTTTAACCCATTCGTTATACCTATTGGCTAACAGCACTTATAATATTAAAAATTCATATTTGTCATTAATTAAAAGGGTGTTTTTTGCAACGACTTCTTTGTTTTTTTGTAATGAATATGGGCGACTCTGGCCACATTTTTTTAATAAATGTGATGTTAGCCAATTTTGATTTCTGGCCCTTATATTTATAATGTGTTCATAACACATACATGTCTCCTAAGGGATTTTCATCACAACCTTTTGCTCTGATCCAGAACCACTATCTATCAAATTAAATTAGTCAATATAAACACCAGATTACAATAAAAAAAACATTTATTTTTGTTACAATTAAGTGCCATGGATAAATTACATAATACAGGTGTCACAAAATCATCATGTTAATCACAATAGAAAATTTAAGATAAGATTTTGACTATGAATCAGACTAAAAATACTTTAGTCTGATTCATAGTCAAAATCTGTTTCTAAATATTCTACACCTGATAACAATGACAAGGAATCATCAGAGTCACTCTCTTCACTACTGTCTGCACCAACAGATATAATAAATTTTTCAAGTTCGTTTTCAACAATGCCATCTTTTAATTTGTAATCATTTTCGACATTTAAAACATGATCAGTGTATTTCTTCCAGTCACTAGGGGTAATTAAGTTAAAACACTCTATTATTAAGTTTTCCATTTCCTTTCCTGGTATTCCAATGTTTCTGCTTGCAATTTTTCTTTTTGCTTGACTCCAAACCATCTCTATTGGGTTTAAGTCACAATGATACGGTGGCAGCAATAAAAGTTCATGATTATGTTCTTTTTAAATCTCTTCAGCTTCATATACAGGCAATGTTTTCTTATCATTAACCAAACACATTAACTCTGCCTTTGTCTGATATTCCTCAAAATGTATTCCATTATTTACAAGCCATTTACGGATATCTGCTTTGGTATTAGACATTATAGGCGGTTTATTGATTTGTTTTATATGGTAGCTGGCATTATCCATAACAATTACACTGGGCTTACTTAAATTTGGTATTAATTTTTCTCTGACCCATTTCATAAAGTTCGATGAGTTCATATCATCATGATAATCAGCAGATTTGGATTTACTACTGAACACTAATAATGCACCAGGCACAAAACCTTCCTCAGATCCAGCATGCACAACAATATGCCGTTTTCCAGAGGATATCTTTGTAGTGACACCAGTTGTTGAAGGTCCTTGCCAAGACTTTTTAACTTTATAATTCTGATGTACATAAGTTTCATCAAGGTACACAATTTGCTTTCCTTCGTTTCGTTTTATATTTATTTCTCTCAAATACTTGTGCCTCCATGCAGAAATCTGGTATTTTTCTATAAGCATAGAACGTTCATTTTCATTGCTTTTAAAAGAAAATCCATTCTTAAGCATAATTTTTCGTAAAGTCTCACGGCTACCACTGAATCCTATTGCATCTTTTAATTCATTGTGAAGGCTTCTTAATGTTGGAACAATTTTTTTCACACAGTAAAATTCATTTACTTTATTCCGAATTGCACTTAAATCAAAATTATCTAAAGCAGACACTGTTGGTTGATGAGGTCGTTTTTTCCCAGGAGTGTCCCATTTTCCTTTATTAATTAATGCTTCATTTTTTATCCTTCTTAGTGTCCTTATACTTACATCTATAAAAGATTAAACACTTTGAAACAAAGATATGTTAAATGTATTTAAAAGCAAATAATGATAGACACATACATCAAAATAATTTAAATACCTATTCAACTATGAATGCAATTTATGTTTAATTTAGTTAAGTTTATGTGCATATTTAGCATGTATAACAATTACATGGTTTGATTAGTTTCATGAATTCTGTGAATTTCCTTGTTAAACAAAACATTCTTATGACATCATTGGATGTCAACAATAAAAACCAATACATCATAAAAAACCTATGTAAATATTATAGGAATACTATCAATCTATCTTAAATCAAAACAAGAAAAGAGACCTGTCATTGAAGAAATTTTTTGTAAGTACTGCGTTTCCGAATTCAGCATTTCTTGTTTTTCTAAAGTTTTTATTGCATTTATCTCCTCCATTATTGGTTGAATATCACCATCACAGTTATCTGAAATAGAGCAATATTTTATAAAAAATATCTGTTTAGTTAATTACAGAAAATTAAAACGAAAGTATCAAAATTATAATACAAAACTAACCTAAAAAAGATACAACTTTATCTAATCGTTGTAATTTCTCCATGAAATTTTTATTTAATTCAGTTTTCACTTCAGTAAACTTGTCAATCATGATGGAAAGAAGTTTCCTCGATGAAGTTTTTATCGGCTTCGACATAATTTTTAACCAAAAACACAAGTTCAAATTCGCAAAAACAACAAAATTCAATATTCTTGAATTGTCTAACGTAGTGTCAAACTGACAGTTCTATGTTGTTGCCATATGAAAACGGAAAAATAGGTGGTGTCACGTTTCGCTTGCCAAACTCTATGATCGGTTATACTATTTCTACAAACCAGCCCCAGTGCGAATCCCGAGGGAGATCGGACATATATATGAT